ATAAATGAACGGTCTTTTTCAAGACCATCAATTGATTTTTCATTGAGAAAGATATTAATTAAATTCATATTTGTAATCACAACCTACTGATTATATATAAATTCTCGTATGTTAAACGAATTAACTAGATAGTTGCCCTTTCGAATATTAAAAAAGCTACAAAAATCTGTAACAGATTTTCATAAAAGGCTCAAACTTTCTAATGCCGTTTAAAGCATTAACTGACATTTATACAAATAAATTCTGAAGATTAACAGAAGTCGTGACATTGAAACTGAGCACATAAGAGTCATTTTCAGATATTTAAAAGGAATCTCATATCGGAAACTGATTTAAACATTGTTAATAAAGAGTACACAAAACGAGCTATTAAACGATTTTTAATCCATTTCAGTTTAATTACAGATTCATATATCAGTCATTTGCATAAAATTAAATTAACTTAATGCTTTTTTAATTTATTAAACCTACTCTGACTGTCGTTAGACATGTGAATTATTTTACTGATCTGAAAGAATAAGCAACATACGTTTTGAAATTGAGATGATAATCTCAAAATATATGATGGAAATATTTTTTTGGCTTACACGACAATACCAAAAATCAATCAGAATGTTGAGATTTCTGTTGCTTTGACTTGTTTTGAGCTTCAGTTTTGTTCTTAAGTTGTTCTTTTTCCCATTTTAAACGATTTTTCAACTCGTAGAAAACTTTAGCATTGGCAAAGTAATTCATTTTTCGGTTAATTTTTGTGCCAAAGTCCAATGAAATCATAGCTTTGGTGTCCGAAATGTACTGACTTAAGAAACCGCCCCCACCATAATTAATTTTACTGGCATAATAAAAGCCTTTCTCGACTGGACATGATGTTGGAAACTTTATATCGCCTTTTATTTGTTCGAAGATTAAACGTGCCAATTTATTTCCTTTTTTATTTCCAAGAAACTTACACACATCAGTTGAGCCTTTTCCAAGGAATGGTTCATATTTTCCATTTTCATTGGCAGTATAAACTGCAATATCTATGAACCAATTCTGAAGTCTAACAAAGGTTGTAGCATTGAAACTAAACATCGTTCCATTTCTCATATAATTTAAATCCAAAAAAGAATTGTTATAAATCATTTCCATTTTCTCTACTATAGGTATTGATTTTCCGATCTGAAACTAAATTTGGTGTCAAAACTCGATAAAAAACTATGGTAGTCTGCATAAATAAACAACTCAACTGCTTGGACAGATAATTTAACAATGAAAATTATCAAAATACTTATGCATAAATGCTTTCGTCTTGTTACAACTTCCATCGTTGTATTCACAACTACCTAATATGTAATGAATAACATGAACAGAAAGTTTTCAAATGACATCCAAAATGGTCATTTTTCTGCTAAATTACTCATTTCCCGAAGTTAAATGAACCTTTTTAATTTTCTCAGTGATATTTTAGACTTATTTTTGAACAGTTTAAATTTATTCTCTGTCACATTCCTTATCATTCAAATTTGTTTTGCCTTTTTCTTTCCTTTTCCCCATTTCTCACGACTTAGAAATATGAATTGGGTTCGATTGGAATGTTGCAAAAGTGTTGTCCAAAAGTGTTCTTTTGAAACCAATTTAGCAGAGTTGGGATTTGACTGACTGACTGACTGACTGAAAGACATTGACATGTCAGTCAGTCAGTCAATCGAGTTGAACGGAACATTTGCCCATCTCTGCAATTTAGTAATTTATTTCCTTTCGAATTTTTGAAGAAGCTGCACAAGTCAATTTCAATTGTAGTCCTTTTTAATAATCTTATGCGATGTCCATTAGAATTTGCAAGATCAATCGAATCACTACAGAAAACCGATTCAAGTTTCATACGAAGAGTTGCATTAACACTGTAATAATATGTGAAATTATCTGAAATTCTGAACTGCTGCTGGAAATCAACCACGTGAGTCTCTTCCATTTTATCAATCACAAACTTCAAATCATTCTGAAAATATTTAAGGAAGCCTTTAATTGATTTCAAGCAACACAAACAACTTTAAATATTTACTGAAAATATAACAAGAAAAAATTTTCATGGCTGGTTAGGTATCATCAAAGACTTTTCAATTATAAGTGGTTGTGATATTTATTGGATCATTGCGTATTTTGAATCAAAATCACTTTTTAACTTACCCACAAATTTACTGTAAATTAAGAAATGATTCTTAATAATTGTTCTCACCTTGGTTCTCACTGTGCCAATTAATTCATCAACGACCCGGCAAGGTTCAGAAGATTAGAAGTGATAAAAATTATTCTTGAACCAACCACTAAGCTTTAACTTTGTTTAATTTTTTTCTTTCCCTCTCCCATTTCTCAAGATTTTTCATTTCAATTTGAAATTTAATTTTAAGAATCGTAATAATTTTTTCATTCATTTTCGTATCCAACTCAATTGTTACGAAAATTTTTGATTGTGTGATGGCATATGCAGAAAAACTTTCATCGAGTTTAAAATCTTTTAAGAAATATGAATTTGGTTCGACTGGACATGATGTTGGAAGATTTCGTTGTCCAGAAGTGTTCTTCTTATAAAACCAATTCAACAATTTATTTCCTTTTAAATTTTTGAAGAAGCTGCACAAGTCAATTGTAGTCTTTTTTAATAAGCTGATGCGTTGTCCATTAGAATTTGCAAGATCAATCGAATAACTCAAGTAAACAGACTCAAGTTTCACAAGAGGAGATGCATTGACACTGTAATAATATGTGAAATTATCTGAAATTCTTAACTGCTGCTGGAAGTCAACCACATAATCCTTGTGAGTCTCTTCCATTTTATCAATCACTAACTTCAGATCATTCTTCTGTAAATATTGAAAGAAATCTTTAATTGATTTCAGGCGACACAGATAACTTAAAATATTTACTACTTCATCAGAATACTTCACGACAATCAAAATTAAGAATATAACCAAAAAAGCTTTAAATTTCATGGTTGATACCATCAAAGACTTCAAAAATGTAAATGTCGATATATTTGATGGTCGCACGATTTAAATCGAAACGATTTAATTAACTAAATAAACATTTATCTAAAATTTGAAAGGAAATTTAAAAACAAATCTGATACGTGCCTTATCTGTTTACAGATTTGACAAAAAATCATCAAAGTTTTTTAATAGCGTCAGTCAAAGGTTGGGTGAGGTGATGAAGTCATTCAAAAGGCATTTGATTTGATGAATTATTAAAAGTTTTTTATGTAACTTTTTAAATTTTTTTATATAGACATGAATCATTAAAGTTTAGGTCAGATCATTAAACTTTGTTGATAGCTGCTAATTGATTGGTTGATGGTGATGATGATGATGACTTTTTTTTCATAATTTCTCGTAGTAAATGTACCAGGCTGGTACCTAGCGCTATATCTAAGGAAAGACCCGAATAAACTATAATTAAGTTTGAAGCGTTTGCTTCGCTCGGGCGTCAAAATCTGACTGCGTACACCTGAACTTTAGTTCAGTCTTTTCCCGCACGCAGCGCTCCTACAGTAAACTCGACTGTAAAATAAATGTAGCTTAGTGTATTGGCATATGCCAAAAAGCTTTCATCGAGAGCTAAATTTGTTTCCTTTTTGATTATTAACTCTTGCCACTCGAAGTTTATTAGGTGTATTGTTGGTTTTATCGAAGAAACAATTTTCTAGAATTCGGAAGATCAACTGAATACCTAGCTCATGTAAGAAGAAGTTAATTTTACAAGCAACATTATAACAATAAAAATATGTAAAATTCTCAGAAGTTCTAAGAGAATATAAGTCAATCAGATGTTCGTTGTGAGTTTCCTGAGGTTTCTTAACAATTAACTTGTTATTACTCTGACAGAAATAGAATTTCAAACTTTTCTTTAACTGTTTGATGAGAATAATTCACAATACTAAAGATTGACAATAAAATGAAAATTTTTTAAAAACTTAAAGTGAATCAACTAAGAAGAAAAAATTGAAACTGATGCAATTTTCAAAAAAAAATGCGCCAAATTTATGAGATCTACCTACTTATGATGTTTCATCTTGCATACCCCTCAATAATAAGGGGGGTGTTAAACTATGAGGAGAACTGTTGTGTTGGAACTTTTAAAAATCAACAAAACGTCAAAGAATTGAATTTATTAATCGAATAAAAATATCTCTGAAAAATGGCTTTAATGACAATGATTGCTAGAACAATAGACGGTCTTCCGCTTGTCGGGACGATGCAGGAGAATGAAGAAGTGAGTTGTGAAAATTTCTCGAACAATTTTAATGTTTTTGATGTGTTTAATAATGAATTTTAAATTTTATTGCAGTCGGGGAAAAGTGTACTGGAATATCAAAATCAGGCAAAAATGTTGTTTAGAAAGCTTGGTCCTAACTCACCTGCTCGTTGCACATTAGAGACTGGTCCATATCTATTCCAGTAAATATTAATTTCACAACAGTGACGTTGCTTGTTCACTTTATTAACTTTCCTATTATTTCAGCTATCTCATTGAGAACGAAGTTTGTTATTTGGTGTTATGTGACAAAATGTTTTCGAAACGTATTGCTTTTAACTACCTTGAGGACCTCGCTCAAGAATTCTATAATAATTACGGAAGAAAAATTAACACAGTCACCAGACCGTATCAGTTTATTGAATTCGATATTTATATTCAGAAAGCGAAAAAATCACTAACAGATAGACGAAGAAACATTAATACAATAAATAATCAGCTTCAAGATGTACAACGCATCATGGTGCAGAATATTGACGACGTCTTACAGCGCGGTGCAGTGCTTTCCGAACTCGACACAAAGACACAAAACTTATCGATGCTTTCACAAAAATACAAGAAAAGTGCAACGCAATTAAACCGTCGATCAATGTATGTTAAGGGAGCCATAGCTGGAATTATTCTACTGGTCTTTGGCATGTATTTCTGGGTGTTCTGAGCAGTCTCATTACATCAATTTTTTGATATTTATTATTCAATTCAATTTCAAATCTATTTTATATGCTGGTTCCGTAAGGGTAGAATAAAGAAACAATCAAAGTTTATGAAGCATTTATAATGATTGCATTTTCCACTTTTCTTTTCTCTTTATAAAATAGAAAGGACATTCGGTTGGCTTTTTATTAGACAGGAAAAACAAAATGTTTTCTCCATTTGTCACAAAAAATAATGAAGAAAAAAAACAATGAATTTGTTAATGATTGCGATATAATTAATTATGGTGATGAAAGGCGATGATCATTTCCATTACTTTTCACCTTTCGCTTTTTTTTCGGCTTCAATTTTCTTAAGTTCTCTTTGTCGAGCCGCTTCTTCACGCTGCTGTTTGATTATTGCTAAACGAGCGAGGTCAGCACGAGCTTGTTCAGTTTTTCCTTGTGCATGTAGCTTTTGATAGTTTGCTTGTTTTTTCTGCTTTTCTATTTCTTCTCTTTCACGTCGTGATAGTTCTCCTGTTGGTGCTGGAGGTGCCGCTGCTGAGGAAGAACTGCCAACATCTAAATTTGCATCCAATGTCGATACTTTTTGAACAGCTTTCTTTTGTACTCGATTTGGATTTTCTATTTCAATGAGACCATGAACTCCACTTTTTTTTCGATCATCGTCTGACTCTGACTCCTCCTCTTCGCTCTCATCACTGCCAGCTTCTTCTTCATCTTCATCAGAATCTGACTCGTCTTCGTCCTGGTTCTTCTTCTTGCGCCACTTTTTGGATTCTTCTTTTTTCCGCTCTTCTTCGAGTTCTTCTGGTGACGTAAAGTGACGATTTCTTCCTTTATGATTTACAAATTTTCCTAAAATATAAAACCATTAAAATTACTACACAAAACAAGGTATTTCATTAAAATATGATATTCTTAAGAACTTTTCCACAAGGTTATTAATTGTTACCCAAAATTTTGTAATAATCATCAATTATTTCATACCTCTAGGCATTTTAACGTATTGCACAGTTGGCAGTTATCTTCTTAAAGTAATTGGAAAGCTTATCAACGAGTGGGATTAAATAATAACAATTCTAAATGTTATTTTTTAAAAACGAGTTGCTCGCAATTTAAGTAGATCTAAGGTAGAATATATTTAAGTAGATCTTATTCAACAATTTTTAAAATTGGATCATGTTCTCAAATTAACGGTCGCTGTCGATGAGAATAAAATTCGTTGAATTTAATTAATTAACATTTATTAAAGATCAAGCAAAAGAACAAATTTAAATACAAAAGTTTTTCTTAATCATCTCTTTTCCTAGTATTGACTTCAGTGTAAGCTGCTCGAAGTTTTCTTCTGTACAAAAATCATTTATTTTTTAATGCAATATGTCTTCGTGGAACAATAATTCGACCAAAAATAAGTCCAACGAAGAAAATGAATCCAATAAAGGATAACATTAGCATCATGAAGTATTTTCTTGATGGTGATGTAACTACAGATTCATACAAATCAGACAAACTCTCAGCTGGTGGTGCAACCTTTAAAATAATTAATTTAATTAATTTAAAATTTCTTTGTTCACATGAGTAATTTTGCTTACCGCTGCTGCATTCTTAAACATCTCAATTCTTTGCTGTAATTTTTCTTTACAATCAATTTCAAGTGCTTGTGATTTAGCTTCGTCATTTAAAATTATTTGTAGACACTTCAATTGTCTTCCATTTCCACCATCAACACCAGAACAAAACTTCAATAAGTCAGCTGTACAACTGTTGAATAATATCGGATCCGCTTGAATATCAGCTTTTTCCTCTTGTATGAGTGTTGCAATTTCAATTTTACATTGTTTCGCAATAATTTTCTTGTTTACAAATTGCTTTTTCAGACATTCTTCTACTTGACCTTCTTCATCATCAACGAAAGGACAAAGTTGGTCAATTTCAGACTTACACACGATCGCCAATAATGGATTCAACTTATAATTCAGAGCTTGATCATGCAGAATGACGGTCATTTGCTTTTCACACTTTTTAGCAAGTTTCCCTTGTCTAAATTTCTTCTTCAAACAATTTATCACTTTCCCATTTAATTCTTCATCTTCTTTGGCTTCAGCGACATCACGTGTGCAATAATCAGCTATTTCTTTTGAACAGGAATGTTGCAGTTCCGGATTAAACCTATAATCTTGACTTTTCGTTATTAACCGATTAACAACGACCATATGGCATTGATCATCAAACATGGCTTCATCTTTGTGGAGTTTCAAGCAATTGAGAATATCAGTTTCAACAATATCAGGACAAAATTGCTTTAACATTCCTTTACATGTACTCATGAGCTTGAAATCAGTTCGACTGTCTGTAAGTTCCGATTTCTTCACAGTGAAGAGAGCGTGTTTACAATCGGTGCTTAATACACTCTGTTTCGACATTAAACACTCAAGAACCTGAATTGAAGAATTTTCTTTTATGTTTGCAAATGATTAAACTTAAGGAATTTCTTACCTGGCCCGATCCCGGTACAACATCTTTGCAAAATGACTTAATATCTTTATTACAAGCATTTTTCAATTTCGGATTTAAATCAATATTTTCACGTTGTTGAAAGAGTTGAGAACGAACTTGTTCACGACATAGCTTCGGTATTGAATGCTTTTGATCGTGTATCGTGTCTTTCGCGATGATTTCACTCAAACATGATACGACGTCATATTTAGTGCTGCTATTTTGGCAATATCTTATGAGAGAAAGAGAAAGAAAGGAGAATTAATTGTCGTCGTTGACAATAAAATGATAAGAAAACAGAAAACAAACCTATTGACATAAGGGCGACATGCTTCTTTGAATTTATTCGTAAAAATGTAATTTTTCAACGAAATTAATTGGAAATGTTCAACAGCTGCTTTACATTTTGGATAACTTTTGAGAACATCCCCTTTTAATGCAATTAAACATTCCATGATATCGCCATCTTCTCTTCCCAAATAAATATTTCCACAATGTTTTTCCAAAGGTTCACCGCAAGTTGATCTTATTAAAGGATTTAATTCAATATGAGCTGACTCTTCTTCCGTGTATGTAGTCACAGCTTTTTTACAATTTTTCGTCAATTCTTCCAAATGATTTTGTAAACATTCCATTTCTTGACCTTTTTGTGTCTTATCGAAACAAAATGAGGCCAAATCATCCAAACAAACATCTTCAACTTCTGGAATGAGATCAACTGAAACTGCGCGTTGTCGCATGACACGTTTGACTTCTTGAAAGCAATTTTGACTAAGTTGCATGTTGGCATCAGGATGATAAGCATAACGATGTAAACAAGGCAGTACAAAGGGACCTCTTTCAGGATCCATTTGTTCCGTATCAAGATCGGCCCATGTTTTTTTCGCGTGACAAAATCTTATTGCATCATCTTTACATTGCGAATACAACATTGGATCAAGTTTAAAGTCTCTGGCAGTGAAATATTGAATCTGCAAAAGTGCAGTTTCACATGCTTGGGTCATGAAAATTGTTCCAAGTTTTTCCATCAAACATGACATGACACGTGAGTTGCCTCCAATATCAGCTGAACAAGCTGTGTCAACAACAGATTTACAAGCATTTCTCAATACTGGATCCACACGCCAATCTTCTGAGACGTCGCTGACTTTTATTAAATTCTCAACAGCCCTCAAACATTGAGCTGATATTCTGAGATCTTTTTTTCGTCTTGGCTTTGCATGTTCCATCAAACAATGAATTGTTTTCGATCCTTCAATGCTGTGACAAAATCGGTCCAACTCATCAGCACAATCGATAATAATTTCAGGAGAAAGCTTGTAGTCTTCCATCAGCATCTTCCGATGGTCGAGAATTTCAGCAAGACAATCAGGAAGGATCTTTGTATTGTTTTTATTAGCTGCTTCAAGACATAAAAGAATTTGTGCGAGTCTTATGTCTTTGTCATCAGAAACACCTTTTCTGCAGTGGTTAAGTTTTATATCTTCTTTACATGCTTTCGCAAGTCCTTTACTGATTCTGTAATCTTGAGCTATCAATGATGATCTGCGATTTAATTGGCTTTCACATTTCTTCGTCATTTGTGGTGAATTTTTATTAAGCATCAAACATTTGTAGATTTCGTAGCCTCTTGCATCACCACAGAACTTTTTAACATCAGCGCTACAGGACATGTAAAGTTGTCGATCAAATTTGATATTATCTGCTTGAAGTTCAGAGACATGATAAATTTCTTTCTTGCAATTCGCTGACAAATCAGCAACATTGTTCTGCAAACATGCTAACGTTTCGCCTTGAGTTGATTTTGAGTTTCTTGTTGCTAATCTGCCACATCCACTTTTTTCGATATCTTGGGAACAGCTTTGAAGGAATTTAGGAATAAGTCTGAAGTCACTGAATGCCACTGTTTCAATTCGAGCTAATTGTCCTTTACATATTGGATCTTTAATAACATCTCGATTGTCAAGCACACAAGATAAGTATTTTCCAGAAAATTCTGTGCTGCTCTTTTCTGGACTACATTGAAGTCGCAATGCATTTAAATCTTTTGAACAACTCTTTTCCAGCAATTCATAAATGTTATTATCTTTCATAAGTTCAGATTTTCTTGTATAAATTGTGTGCTGGCAGGATGAGTCAATATTTAAGTCATATTCTGATGTTTGGAAAGTATCTATGCACTCTAAAACTAATAAATCTTCACTATTGCTAACCAAATTGCTGCACAAGTTCTTTAATTGAGGACATGAAGGATCTTCTAAAAGATTTGGACGTGTTAATCTGCAATGAGAAGATGTGGATGATAGCTTTTCACACATTATAAAGGGTATTGATGAAATCAAATATTTACTTATTATCGCTATATATAAATTGCGAAAAATTCAGTAGCACAAATAAAATTCGATACATCTTCGACGTCAACAACTGTAGAAATAACTAAAACCAAAACTTATTCTCATTTCAATTATTAAAACCCTCTTAATATCACGAAATATATCAATTAATGTAAATGTCACGATAAAAAGTTATAAAATAAACATTGTTTTGGATGTGTGTGAATGGATTCAATTGTGTAAACACACATCCAACACACACTTTTAAACATGTGGAAAGATGCAATAAAGTTATAATTCCACTGTTTATCTTTTTAGCCGGCATAATCAAATTTTACACCGCTCACTATGCTGTCATATAAATTTATACACATTTATTCAAACTTTGATTAATCCTCTACTAATTTAAGCATCTGAACAGTGTTTAGAATAACGAGGGTGTATTATAATCACAGTTTATTCAAAGTCATTAATTCTTCCTAAAGTTTCAAAGATGCAGAACGTATCAGCACAACCTCACATAAATTTGTTCAGTCAACATCAACAGAAAAATACAACAAAACAGTTCTCGTCGATCTCTTCAGGTCGCAAGGCAATAGTCTTATTTATTTTCTTGTAATTTTATTTATTTAAAAAGATATTTTAACTTATTCTTAAGTTAAGTGCCAAAGATTTTTTAAGTTTATAATGCAATTAAAAATGATAATTGTGAGTTAAAAAGTGATTATGTTTTTTTTCTGTTAAAGACGTAAATATTTGTTGAACAAGATTGCGCTGAAATATTTAACTACGCATAGTTTTTCAGTGGGTGGAAACATGTTACATGTAGCATAGAAAAGAATAACTTGAAAATATCTTAAAGATAGAAGAAAAAAAACATAATAATTCTTCCTCTTCTGCAACCTCTCTTGACTTATGCTGCGATATGATGCGCGCTTAAAATTGGATCAAAGTTCTTTAGGGAAGAAAGACTGAAAATATAAAAACAAAAAACTTTTCGTTCAAAGTTTGATGTGTGATCTTCATCTTTTTCAATTCAATTACATTTTTTTCTGTTTTCTTTCGTTGTTCCAAGTTGTTTCATTCATTAATAATATAAGTGCCTTGCTTAAAGTGGAAACTTATAAGAAAAGTTTCGATTCTAATTAATGATTAATGTTCCAATACACAATAACACATAGTAATATTTTCATCTGGATCGTAAATGAACCATCTGCGGGCACATTGAAAACGACTTGTTGTGAATAGAGATTTTAAATGTTTCTTTTCCGAGTCAACCACTCTTTATTGTATCAGAGCATTAAAGAATCGAAGGAACATCACACACAAAAGAGACTCAAATATTTGTTTTCAATGAACGATACTGAAACTGATAATGCATTAAACATCATACCCTCCCGGTGTTTGTTATTGATGTCTATTTTAAGAGGGTGAACAAGTCACTCAACGTTCGGCAAATGACCGTGTCTTCAATGCAGCTCATTCCGTTCTTTATTACAATAACATTTTTTAACCAAAAAATAAAGGTGTGTTCCCCATCCGATGATATCCAACATGAAATCACATCGGAAACTTTATTTCATTCTTTTTCGACGTTTATAGTTCGCTGATGACTTTTCCAGATGTTCCAGTTTTTTTTTATTTTTCCTAAGAGAAAATATTTATATTATGCATGCATATCTCTCATAAACATAGTTAGTAAATATTAATATGTAAGGCACTAGATATCGAACGCTATTCGCCTTTCAAGCTATGCGCATCAGTTTACATGCAGCATGTAAACATTACTCAAAGAAACTTCATTTAATGCTATTGCTAAATTATTTTTTCTTTCTGAAATAAAACGGGGTTGTTTGAGTTTACATAACTAGATATCCACATAGATATCTAAAGCAATTATCTTGAAAAGAAAACATTACAGTGTGAAGAATTTCCTTTTGTTCGCGATCGTAACTCAAAAGTGTACGCTTAAGTCATAAAGTCATAAAAATAGTTAAAATGACTGAAACCAACAAATCTAATCAAAAAGGGGAGAGAAAAGATTTTTGCTGAAATTAATTTTTTATTTCAGTCACGTTCGTTTGTCGTAGTATGAACAAGTTGTCCATTACATTACGTAAGTAAAATCGAAATCGGCGGAGGCTAAACAGCAACAGAGAAATACAAATGAGAATTTTGAATCGTTGAGAATCATTCGTCAAGCACCACTAACTAAGCCTTTTAAAGATGCCTTGGAATTGTTTATGTTCTTCTTCGAAGAAATCCAAAAAATCAAAGGTAAATGCGTGATGCAAACGACCTTTCCTTTCTGAATTATTTCGACGAAAGTTGCCTCGAACGAATAAATTTAAATAATTTTTGTTCTTTTTTATTTATCGTTGATTTTTTTCTTACTCTTTACACTTACAGTACAATGAGAATATTAAGAACCACAATGACGTACCTGAAAATACCGAGCCGGAAAAGAAGCGAAAACCGAAATTCTACACAAATTTGAGGCTTGATCAATGTGAAAAAAATCCCAAGACCAATAGTAAGTTGTTAGTACATGCGATCTGCCAAGGCAATCTAAAAAATGCGTTGTTTGAAAATTAATTAAATTTTCCATATGAGTTCAAACCATTCAAATGGGATTTTTGTGCTATTTAAAACATTTCAACGATGATTCCATGCTATGAAAAACGTTGTTCAATTACTAAAAAAGAATGTCGTTTTCTTGCTTGTTTGCTTTGTCGGTTAAAGTTCATAAAATTCATTTCTGAGTTGATTCAATTATGTTTTTAAAGCACTTCGTTAATCCCTTGATAATTTCTTAATTCATCGGCTTTAGTCAGCGTAAAGCAAGCTTCCACGCTTCTCATTTTCATGAGAATTTTTTTGATACAGTCACGCTTTGTTTGGTTGGTTGTTTTATCGCTGAAGAGCGTTAGTGCTTAACAAAAACGCAGACACTTAAAAAAAGAAGAAAAAAACGATTTATTTAAAACACCAAATAAATATTCCATTTTCATCCACAGATTCTTCGTCACTTGACAGTCAATTTGACCAAAAATCCATCAACGAGTTGAACGAACACTTATATGACTCGTACGATACTTTGCCAAATCTAAACAAGAACATCGTAAATGTCCCCGAGAATAACAAAAACTATCTCAATGTCAATCAACAACAGGAGAAACAAAGATCGATGGGAAAGATCGACGATGATGATAACATTTTACGACCAAAGCATCTCATTCTATGTTTAAGTAATGAGAATCTTCCATTTATTGATTCTGATTCACCGGGATGTTCACATTACAACGATCGGATAATTGAGATGATGCCACGAAATTTGCTGATGTCGAGTTCAATGGAACGTCAAAATAACAGCGCAAGCGAATGGGAAAAGTTGCATCACATGCAGAAAACATTTCCAACTCATAAGTACATTGAGATCGACGTGATGGATGCACAAATCTGTCAGAAATGTCATAAGCACTTAAGCTTCAAGAAGACTTACAAATGTACACTTTGTGATTTTATTTGTCATCAAATATGCGCGGTTGATAAGGTGAGCAGTTTAATAGCTTTAAAAGTAAATTTGAATTGTTAATTTGCGTTGGTAGTGCAACTTAACAAAAAGAAAAAGAGAGTGAGTAAGAGAAACAATTAATTGATGTTCTTCTCATGACCGCCCGTGAAACTAGTTTTCCATTTTTCTTTCTTTTCTTATTGTAAGATTGGCCTTTCTCTGATAAGATTATTCATTCATTCATTCCTTCGGTGATCGTTAAAACTCACAACAATCATTCGAAAGTAAAGCGAAAGAAAAGAAACGAATGACAAATCACAAAATAAAATAAAGCTGATAGATAAAGTTCGGTTTTCGAATTATGTTGTTCCTTAGCAATGTTTCTGACTATAAATACATAGGTATATCTATCTTGAAATCACATCTAACGGTATTGTTTCAAAATAGCTTCGCTATACATGGGCCTAATTGAAACATTTTCTTTCTAGCGTGCTCTTCTTCACATCCCGATTCACTCGCTCGCATGCATATCGTAGATTCGAGCTCGAGCAGTGACTGTCGAGAAATGAAGAGAAAGAGCGTTTTTCGTTGAGAATTATTTGATATTTTAAGTGAAGTGTGGGTGCAACCGATTCGTGATTGTTGCCTTCCACTCACACATATACACACAAACATTCAATGAAGAGAACCGCTCGGTGCGTTTTTCTTTTTTGGAAAGACAAAATAAAAAGAAAAATAAAATTTATTTTAATTTAGAACGTTATTCGGAAGCGAAGCAAGAGTTTTGTTGTTGATAGCGGTAAAACTGTTTAGACGCGCTCATTTGAACGACATCGACCTAAACAGTGAACTTCACGAGATTCGAATGATAATTATTATTTAAAGTTGCCTCGAAATATGGAATTAGAAGTTAACATGCAAAACAAGTGTTGAAAACAAATTAATAGTGAATGAATGAATCTATTTTTTATTGTTTTGCGTTGTAAATAAGTCTTGAAATAAGTAATGTTATTTGACGTTCCAAATAAATGAATTATGTGTTCAATTGAAAAGTGTCACCAAATCAATTACAAGTTGAAGGATTGTCATTGCTGTTGCTTCTTATTTGTTTGAATATAAATCGCTTTACATATTTTTGTGTGTCGGTGGAGAGAAATTTATTGAAGTGTAATGAAACCTTACATGGATCAGTTGAGAAGTGATCGCGCGTATCAATGAAGAAAAGCGAAGCAGATTGATTAAAATAAATATTAAGTGAAATCGTGCCTCGCGTAAATTGATTGCATAAGAATTTTGTTCTCTCGTTTGTAGTTATTTCATTCATTATTTCCGCGCCGTTTAACTTTTAATATCTAATAGAATGTTGTTCAATGAAACAACTTTGTTCTCCACTCGCTATTAATTAGTTGAAGTCTTTTAAATTAGCGTTAATAATTTGATTATAACGAAATAAAAAGAAAAATATATAAGAATATCTTTTTAACTTTAAATGTGCGCGAAATGTCATTAAAAAGTCGTTTTTGGAGTGAACGAGCGAACAAGAATTAATTAAGAACGAAGCTTGATCGTTTGCGATACGACAATTGATGCCGATGGTTGTAATAAAATATATTTATGTTCTGTTTCTTGTTTGAAATTGATGTTTAAAACTCCCTTCTTCTCTACATAGCACACGCTACAATGTTGAATTAAACAAGAACATAAAAAGCATAAAAGAAACAGACAAAAAAGAAATTTTTGATGTGAGTATCAAAAGTAACAGAAATCACTCTCAGCGCTCAATTCTCACACATCGTTTACATTTTTTTTGTTAACTTTTCGATGGAACTTCGACGACCACGACGACTACAATCACAGTCGTTGAGTTATGAACAGAAAGAGAGAGAAGCGCGACTTTGTAATTGTGAATATCAACAACAATAAAAAAGCGTATTTTCATGTGATCAAGTGTTGATATTCAAACAGAGAGGAAAAAATCTTAGTAAATATTAGACGTAACAAAAACACACAAAGTTAACATAAAAGTTAAGAAAAACGACATGACTGCTCTTTTTATGTTTACACATGAATTTCATTAGATATTTGAGCATTGAACAACATCAATTATGATTCGCTTTTTACGCCGCATAGATTTCACTTCTAATTTCATTTTGGTTTCATTTCCATTTCATTAATTTCATACAAAAGCAGACTTTGATTATTGGCTTCGAAGTTTCGGAAATTTAAGTATTGATCTTTAATTGCTTCCGCCACTTCACTCACGATGATTTGAAGTTTTTCACATAAAGAAAACCTTCGAAGAGTGTTAAAAGCAATTTTCATTTTTTTTCTTCTCATTTCCTCTACCATTAGCATGAAAATAAATTAAGTAGAAAACAGAAAATTAATTCGAAAAGAAAATACTAATCTAACGAACGAAGATGATAGTCAAATGTGATGTTTCGAAATATTTGAACGTTTATCACAATTCAACGCTTCAGTGAGAGTGAATAAAATAAATTGCGATAAACCATGGAAGTTTTGGTGAGAAAAAAATTGCAAAAATCTATATTAAATAAAGGTGGAAGAAGAATCTTCTTCTTTACAAAGACAAATGTCTTTATTTTAGCCGGAAATTCGTTACACCGATACAAGTTATCTTATATTTCGGCAATGGTCCCCTGAAAATGGAATTTTAGCATATCCAACATGCCTGACGACGTACAAAGAAAGAGTGAATAGCTTAAAGAAAACAAAAATACACAAACGGCAACAGATCGAGAACAACCACGTATGTATACACAAAAGCTAAAAACAAAGCTAATAACTATGTAAATGAATGTTCGCGAAACTCAAACTCTCATAGTCATATCACATGCTTACAGGAAAAAATGAAAAACGAAATAAAAACAAGTAAAAAATTATGAGTGTAACAATAACAAGAACAATACTCTCTCAAATACATCCGCGAAGCTGAATATTCATAGCGCAAATATTCATACAGTGACGATTCCTTTTAGATGTTTTTTTTCAAATTTTTTGCCTCCCTAGTCGTAACATTACAGTCAACTAAAACACACGACTCGCGAATCGAGTCCGTTGAGAATTAGCTAAAGATAAACTAAGTTGCATAGCGTCAGGCCGGGATTTATTTTTATAATAAAAAGAAAATTATATTGCGTTGGAATATATTTCTCTTTTTTTCTTATTAATATATAAATATTAGTGATTCGAAGTTGTTTGTTGCGTAAGAAATTGTAGTGATTACGATCGCTGATATGATAAAAGTAAATTCTCAATCGTTCAGCTTACCCAGCACATTGAAACAGGTAAAGTGAGTGAAATGGAAACAGAGGATACGTCGACGACATATCGACAAAAAATTTTTAATGTGATAATAAAACGGTGACGTCGATTATCATTCTTTTCGGCTTTTTATTTAGATATTAAGAAGCGGTCGTTTGTTCGAATTTTTAGTCTTTCGTGGCTACTAACTAACCAACTAACTAATTTAAAGCTTCTCACATCATTCAGTATTTCCATTTCTAAAAGTTGTATTGTGTTTCGCGACAAACAAGATTTTCTGCAAATTAAAACAGACTATTAAGAAATATTGGTCATTGTTTGTGCATGGAACGTCAAAAAAATGAATGAAAAAGACAAAAAAGAATTTAAACGACGTCGAAGTCAGAAAGTGCTAAGTTTGATGAATGGTGTCAAATGTTCGTTCTTTTATACTTTAAATCCTCTGGCACGCCCAACTTTGGAATTTATGCCCCTATCGCGATGTTTGCTGCGATTATAGATGAATAATCATGCTATTTTTATGAGACTTTTCCGGTTGCGCTGACCATGCAGAAAAACGTTTTCCATTTCACATTTAATATTCCTTCCCCTATTTTCTCCATCGAAACTCTTCTTTAATAGCAAAAAAAGGCATTAAAATTCTTTCGTGCTGAAAATAGGTTGAAGTGATTCAAAGTGAAGTTATCTTACTAAGTAGTAAATCTCACTCCCCCCTTAAACCCATCAATTGATATTTTTCCATGAAATGAAAATCGTAAATGAACAGAAAGCAGAAATTTTCACTCTTCTTTTATTATTTCTTTTTCCACCCAGTCTGGCAGCTATGAGGATCGACAACAGCAGTTGGAAAGAAATGAATTGGTATGTTCGGAAAAGAAAAAATGATAAAAATAGATTTTACAATTAAACAAATCATCATTTGAATTTTTTTTGTGAGATTGGGAATCATTCTGGCATAATGTTCACATTGCCAATCAAAACATAAAAGTGAATTTTTATTTATTAACATTCACGAGGCTAAACTTCAACTTAACTCAAAGTCTTATAGTTAATTGAATTCCAATGACAATCGTAAAATAATTCTCAGAAAAACTTTTTGTATTTTCAAATCCGGATTATTTTATTTATTCACGTTTGATATCTCAGTTTACGCTCATGCCAAAAGAAGAAAAAAAGCTTTTAAAATTTTATGACATTCTTTCCAAATGTTTCCCATGATTATAAAAACATGAATCTAATGTGTTTATTCAATCTCACGTTCAGCATAATCGGCCAAAAACGCCAACCAAAAACCAGCTGTGTTATGTAACGGAAAGAATTCTTGCTGCAGTGTTGCCAACAAAAGATACTTCAGCGAAAATCAATGACTTGTTTCTTTATGATGAGAATGGAAATCGGAGAGGTGATAAACACGAAACTGATCTTCTCCAAATGCTTGAACAAAAGCACGGCAAAAATTTTCGTTTATTTGATTTGGAATCATGCATACCGACAATATCGTTGGAGAAACTTTGTGAACTATGCAAACATATCGAGTCTTGGTTGAATAGCGGCCATAACAAGATTGTTGTCCTTCAAGACAGGTAAAATTGTTGACATTATTTCTGTCTTTTCTTCATTTGAAAATACGCGAAGCGTCTTGTCTTCTTATGAATGGATTAAAGTGTAATTAACAATGATTCGTGTTGACATAGGGAAAGCTTTCAACGTGTTGGTGCATCAGTAGCGGCTTACTTACATTACCAGAAGATTTGCAGTACAAATTTGGCACCGTATTCCATCCGATCAAATTCAAGCGACCCATCCCGAAATATTCAAGATCTTGATGAATATTCAATGCAAAAATTTCTCGACGACATCGTTGGACCCATCACAGAACCTGCTTTGAAAAGGTAAGCAATGACAACAGGCGGTCTAGAGACTTAAGTAAATACATTTTTATTGATCTTCCTTCTTCAGATACCTCGAATATTTTATTGGATTACTCTCAGGCGAAATCAAAATCAATTCTCAGCCTTTGTACCTAAGATTTATCAAAATGGAATCTCCACCATGTATGCATCACAAGATATCGCATCACGAGAACGAATGGAGTAGCTTTATAAAAGTCTTCGAGGGAGAGAAATTTGTGTTCATATCGGGTATGATTGAGATCGATTAGATGAATCTTATCTGATATTATTAATGAAAGAATATTCATGAGTAATCAACTGATCGTTAGGAAGGGAAATGAAAACAGAGAGAATGAGAGAAATAAGGCAATGAATATATTTAAATTATTTATTATGCATTCAAAGCAGTTGCAGTGCTTCTCGATGTTTTCGTTTTCCCTTGCATTCATAATGATTATTAATTGAACAAGTTGTGAAACTCTGATTTACTTTCATATCTTTTTTCTGATTATAATTTATTGTCATAAGTATTTAACGACTTTTATTCCTTCTTTCCATCTCTCTCATGCGCTACAGATATTTATATCATGCCCATCTCCACTAAGCAGTTCATTTATGAGATCAAAAATCCTCTCAACTTACGCGGCGATATTTTTGTTCACTTCTTTCAAATTCATAACAAATCTCGTCAAACTGAGTTAATCTCGACAGTTCAATTTCACACATGTGCCATAACACGAAACGAAGTAGAATTCCATAAAAGTGATATTTCATTTCCACGTTCTGGTGAGTTTTCCTTCGACTCTTTGTCCCTTCTTCTTATTTTTAAGAATTTTCTTTCTTTTCGATATTTTTAGATGAGAAGTTTCCGACGGATCATAAGATTACTTTAATATTCAACAAGAATGCCGATCCAGACAATTCAAATCGTTCAAACTCCGATGTTTTAATGTTTCAAAATCCTTTAATTCGCAAAGAACCGATTTCAAACTTCTCTTCTATTGCCGATTTATCACAATATGCTCAACATACACATGGGCCGGTTGATGGATCGCTTTATGCAACAATAGCAAAAGCAGCAGCAGCAAATAATTCAAATCATGCTGATAACGAATTAACTGTGCAAAATATACAAACAATCGAGACACGTTTGAATACGCCGCCGACATCGAAGAATTCCCGCATTTTATCAACGATACTCGAATGGGATAACATTAGAAATGGTGGAGAGAATGGTGGAGTTGGAGAACATAATAACGGTGGCGGTGGGTACATGAATACTGCATCGTTGAGAACAAGACAAGAACAACCAAGATCTTTTGTGAAAAGTCCATTAATGCGCAGCTATGACTCTGGCATTTACAGTCATGAAGTTACAAATAGTAAGTAGTGTTTTGTTTTCCCTTTGGGGGAAGAATTTCATTTAATTTTTATTTGATTGAAGCACTTAAGAGCGCCGCCGTTCGTGACGTTCCATTAGAAGAAGAAAAAATCATTAATTTTAATCTTATCGAAACATGAACAATTTTCATTTAGATATTTTTTTTCTCATTCAACTATCTAGAAAACAATACATCATCAGCCTTATCTTGGCATGATGGAGCAACAAGCCCAACAACAGGTATGTAATAAAATTGTTTTTTTTTGAATAGCAGAAGGAAAAGAAGAAGAAGATAAAAAAATTCCAGTGATCTTTGGCTTTAACGTGTTCACTTATGAAAAATTATTATTCTCTAACAACTAAAAAATATTTATGATCATTATTTTCATCTTCTATGTGATCATCATCATTGATAAACAAAAGTAACAGCAGATCTTTATTTTTATTTTTCTCTCGTTTTCTTCTTTCTTTTCGTTATGAAAATAGCAAATAATTGTCATGTCGAATTGGACAACTTGCTCTCGGAAATGTTGTTAACTGTTGAAACATTACCTGATATAAGTTACAGCAACAGTAATACGACGAGAAATAAACAAATTGAAGTATTTTCGATGAAACGATCAAATGCAAATGAAAGAACATCACCACATCGAACGACATTTGAGAGTAACACAATCAACACTAATGCAAATAATCAAGAATTTAAGCGATCACACGTGCAACATATGAAAAATTATAATCTTGATACTTTCGGTTATTCTAAAAATAATCAAGACATTGGCGAAACATCAAGCATCACGACTACAACATTAACACCAACAGAATCTCGTTGCAATACACCAGCAATGTCCGATCATCAGGGAATGTTTAAAGCTTACCAACACCACGATGAACTTTATTATGATACTGACACACAAATGCAATTACATGGAGGAAGGCAACGACAATTTCAGCTACAACACATTGACAACACATCGCGAAAAGAATATGAAAAGCAAACTGAAAATCTTTTGCAAAGTTCAAGTCAGTCGAATAGTTACATGGAAGTATTACGGTCGGAAAATCGATCTGGAGATCGTCCTGACTCCAATATTCCTTACCACGCCCGTGAATATTCGAAGCCTTTCTCATATGGAATTCCGGGTGAAGGTAGGATGATGAAAATGCAAACGGGATTATCAAGTCCATCGATGGTACGTAAAGCTCTCAATGTGAATGGAACATCTGGTCGGAAAACTCCAGTTCACGAGTTTGAAGAGCGTGCCAAGTATGGGAGATACGTCGAAAATAAATATACTATCGGTGACAAAACGCCCGAGAATAATTTGAGTGTGTTTGATAATAATAAAGAGTTTGATTATCGGAATCGAAGTGAAAATCAGAGATACAAGGACGGTGCAAGTTTCAGTATTGAAAATAGCGATGTGGAAAGCGCTCATTATTTCGAGCCATTAAGACGATCAAATACGATGGATGGAAGTTTTGGTCGCAGCGGATACGCATCTGATGGGTGAGTTTCCAATCATTTTTATTCGAATAAGACAATTCCATTGATTTCTTATTGTTCCATATATGGAAATGTGGATTTAGCGCGTTGTTGTTGTGATCAGATTGTAAAAGCTAAGGCCAAGGCCTGATTAAAATTCGTTTGTTGTGTATGAACGTGAATTAAAAATAAACGAAATACTTACTTACAATGAGAGAGAGGGAGGGAAAATAAAACTGACAATAATAGATATTTAATAGACTTTTTGAAATGAAAATCACCTTCACTCATAGTCACATCATTGTGTGCTTAGCGGATTTGTTTTTTTTTTCTTAATTTTTATTTCATTTCACGAATGAAAATATTTCATAAAAAGAATGATCGCCAAGTTAATGTGAAAGAAAGAAACGCTCAAGCAACCTACAAGCTTTTTGACTTTCCATTACATTGTGCTGTTGTCTTGTCGGCGGCCATAAAACAGAAGTTGAAAAAAAAACTTGAGAAAAGAAACTAAAAATATTCACCAAAAAAAAGAGAAGATTTCTTAAATCTAAAACAAATTAAAGTTGACACGTCACATGGATATTGGCACCAGCATATAATTAATGCCGTCAAGATATAAAATTAGAAAATGAATTAGTTTCGTTCTGTTTTGATGAGTGGAGGTCTTTGGGAAACGTTCAATGTTCATTCACGGGTGGAAGAAAAATTTAATCCTCTTCAAAAAGATTTTCCTGATCGTTTGATTATTTCTCGTTTGTTTTTTCTTAATTCATCTAAATGAATTTTCTCTCGAGAAGTGGACTATGGGGAGTACAATATACAAGCCAAACAAAACTTAGACTTGGATGTGATTCAAGAAGAGAACGAAGTCTGTGTTTAGCAATATCATAATTTAAAGAAGCTTCAAGAATCCGAAGGAGGCGATGTGTAATGATATGTAACTGCGAAATGAAAATAAAAAAAGCTTTTCCTCTCGAAGTCTTTGACGTTCATTTCATTTCTACTTCTATTTATACAACTCACGAATCTTAAAATATTTTCTTTTCACAACATGAATGTTAAGTATCTCGATATCTAAATAACGAAAGAAAAAGGAAAAAAACAAGAAAATGAGTCGTTCAGGTCTTGGCCAATATCACGGATAAATGTCAGCCAACAAGACAACATTTCTCTTCTCAATAATGAGACGTTTCATCATTTATTCTTCTTATTTTCGTTCAATTCCTTTAGTGGTTCTAGCCAAACATGGTTGCAAGTGCAACAACAAAGATTGCGAGCAAAACGAGCGCAACGTCCAAAGGAGGTATTTGACTTCACTGATGGAGCTTCTCGGTAAAGAAAATAAAAAAGAATGCCGTCAACTAACTTCATGTTTCCATTTTTTTTATGTTTCATTCAAACTCTTTTTAGACGAAGTCAAACTTTGTCACCAGTTAGAAATTATAACACGTTGGCAGTGGCTAAAGAGCCAAAGTTTGTGACAATCAAGCGAACTACCGAGCAAGTCGTTTCAAAACCTTACAAGGTAAATATTTGTTTAGCATTTAAAGCTTTCGTTTTGAGTTTCGTTTGAAGCTTTCAAAATTGTTTGATTTCAATTAAAAGTGTTTTGGAAATTCAATAACCATTGAAAGATGTTTTATTTCATCTCAATATCAACCACTTCATTTGTTGTTTTGACTTTAAGCTTCACATTACATTCTCACAAATAAACATTCCAGAACGATTATTTAGAAAGCAATCCATTCGACTATCACAATCGAACGGCATCTCATTCACGATCATATAACGAAAAGTTTGCAACGATTAATAACATGGCACGAAGGAACATGCCCATAACATCAACTCCATATGAAGCGATGGTAAGTTGAGATAGCAAACTAGCAATTATTTCATACATCATTGCATCAACATGCATTTTGTGAGCTTTATCGCATTGATGTGTTGGGCTTTCAAGAGTGATCATTGATTGTGACTTTAATCATCATTCATTTCATTTTATGTTAAGTTATTACATTTAACAACAGCCATTCATATTTATTTAGGATCATATTAATAACAATACAATGGAAAGCACATCTGAAATGGATGCTCTCGACAATATTCTCGAATCGATAGCATTCGAGAATTTCACAACCAACATACATTTATCGGAAATGGTGAATGGAGTGGCGAAGGAGTCAAAAGTTAATTTAACATCTAATGATAATATTAACATTAGCAATAAGACTGACACGTTAAACCGCTTTTTCGATAATTTAATTAACTTTAATCGCGAGTGTGAGAAAGCTAACATAAGAAAATCTGAATCATCATCTGATCATAGCTCATCGCCCGACCATCAAAATAATAATAATAAGAATAATTTTAATGGCAGAGTGCCATATCCACAGGTAAGACAAATCATTAATTCACATCATTTTCATTGTCATTGTCATTTGGCCGAGATTTTTATTTGCCTGTAAATTTAAATTGTGCATGAAATGTTTACAGCTTTCATTTACATTTTAAAGAAAAAGATAATTGGAGAGTTTTAGAGTTTGGCCATTTTGGGTGGTTTTAATTTCCATAAATTGACTTGACTCGAACTCTCTAAAATCTTACTTTTACCATTAAATTTATATACAAAACTTTACTAAATTTCCTTCATCTTTATTTAAAGACACGTAATGAATCAGTTTCTTCATATCGTTCGGAAACGGAAACTGAAGTTTCACGGCCTGAAACGCCAGCTTTTCCCGTGACACCACGAACGCCAATTCATTTTGGCAGCACTTCAACTTTACCACCAAAAAGTCCAACATTGCAACGGTGAGTGGAGAATGAAACCTTTGAAAAGATAAAGCCGATCTCTGAAAGAATCTTTATTAAAATATTGTCGAATTTTAATTTACCTAGTAACTATTTGGGTGGTTGGTCAATTCACACTGAAAAATCGACTATCGCGTCTTCCGATCGAAGGTAGTGATGAAACACTTAAGAAAAGATGTTTCAAGCATGTTTCACAATTTGCATTTACTGTTTAAATTAATTAAATTTATTGCACATTTCAATGAATCAATTTCGTAGTTTCTCAACTTTGTTGTCACTTTACAGATGTTCTCATAATTCTTACACTGTTCAAGCATGTTTCAAATAATTGTACAATGTATGTTACAATAATTCACTTTATCAATTTTCGTATTTAGTCCACTAAAATGTTAAATTATTTTATCAATTAACTAATATCTCTTAAAAAAATTATAGACGGGACTTGTCGAATCGAATTCATGAAGTGGCGAACGTTAACGAAACTGTTTCAACTTATACATCAAGGCGAAACTCTTCAAACTCAGCTATATCAAATGCAAATAGCGAGCCATTTGAAATTGCTCCGCATCATGTTAAGTAAGTTTACTTTTTATTAACGTAAATATTTGAATGAATAAAATAAAAAATCTATTTCAGGTTTGCACGTGACTCATCAAGATTCTGGTATAAGCCAGCATTGACTCGTGAAGAAGCCATCAATTTGTTGAGAAATGCACAACCAGGAACATTTGTTGTTCGAGATTCGACAACTTTTGCAAGTAAGAAGAGATTTTAATGAATGTAAGAAAGAATTCTTAAGACTTTAATTATCATTTCTAAAGATGCTTTTGGTTTGGTCGTGAGAGTTTCACAACCACCGCCTGGAACCAAAGGACAAGGCGGGGATGAGTTGGTTCGTCACTTCTTAGTTGAGCCAACTGTTCGTGGTGTTCGTTTGAAGGGATGTTCCAATGAACCAGTTTTCAGTTCATTGTCAGCTTTGATTTATCAACACTCAGTCACACCATTGGCTTTGCCATGTCGTTTGATTCTTCCAGAACGTGACATTCAATATCGCGACAATTATCAGACATCGGGACAAAAGCAGATTGTATCTCAAGGAGCAGCTTGTAATGTTTTGTATCTGTTCAGTGTCGATACGGAATCATTAACCGGACCACAAGCTGTCCGCAAAGCAATTCGATTATTGTTTGAACGACGACCATTGCCAACACCTACGGAAGTTCACTTCAAGGTGGCGTCACAAGGAATCACCTTGACCGACAATTCTCGCCAACTTTTCTTCCGTAAACATTATCCGGTCAACTCGGTTACTTTCTTCGGTCTTGATCCCGATGATCATCGTTGGAGTGTTCAAGTCACCAATGAGGAAATTCCCGTTCAAAATCAACACATTTTTGCTTTTATTGCGAAGAAATCATCTTCGTCTTCTGATAATCAGTGTCATATATTCTGCGAATTGGAAGCGAGACAACCAGCATCAGCAATTGTCTCATTTGCGCAGAAAGTCTTACTCGACGAAGCCACAAGACAACAGCACGCTCCAGCACAAATCTAATCCAGGAATTTAATCATAAAAATATTATTTTAATAAACTTTTTAATTTCGCTTCTTGATGTGTAGTCGGTCACGATGATATTAATTTTTTTTCTTTTTAATTATAATTAAAATCGTCCTCGACGAGCGATGGAGAAGAATACTTACTAATTTAATTAAAATGATTGATTTATCGCATAAAACACTAACCTTCCAATTAATTATTCAATTGAACAAAGAGAAAAAATGTCATAATGACATGGGTGGGTGGATTTTAAAATGTCATTGTAGAATTTTTAATTGATTTATTGGGATATGATGAAGTTTGAGGAATTTAAAGTGTTTATGGGGGTGATAAATATTTTTCTAATAAAGCTTTTGGTTGACTCTATTCATCAGTTCTATCAATAGTTACGTCAACGTTATTAATGACATTATCTATGAATCAACCCTTTTAAAATTTATCTAATGTCTAAGAAAGCAACACAAAATGAACTAATCAAATGATCATTGTTCCCAATCAAACTAAACTAAATATAATAAACACGAAGAAGAAGAAGAAAATAAATAATCAAACTAACTAAATAATAAAGTTGCAAAAAAAATAAGAAAATGGAAAATAAAAAGAAAATCTACGTAAATAAATATGAAAGAAATTGTTTTTAAGCTTTTCATGTTTTATTTCAGTTTTTTTTTCTGAAGATTTTTCATGAGAAGAAAAAGTAAAACAAGAGAAAATGTTTTCTTAAAAATATTACATTTTTTATCTTCACCTGTTTCTTTTTCGTTTATTTAATTGATTATCGAAAAATAATTAGATAAGATGAAAAACATTTCTCTTAGACTGGATTTCATTAATGGATTTAATTACGTGGGATGAATAGAGGAAAACAAAAACGAAAAGTTGAAAGACAGAGAAATGTGGCGTGGGTGAAGTTGAATCTTTATCTCCTAGATTTATGATGATGTCGGTTGCCATTGCGTGATGAGTGGTTACTGCTGCTATATTTATCCTTTTCATAGTTGTAACCGCTGTAATATTCTTTGTCCGAGTAACGTTCCTTGTCTCGATCATTAGCGTAATCACGCCTTCGACTACCATTCGAATATCGTTCGCGTGACTTCTCACGATAATCGCGTTTCGGTGATTTCTTGCTGTATTTTTTATCTCTGAAAAATGTTTCATTAAACTTCATTTCATTTTCATTTTACAATTGATTCTCACCTTTTTCTACTTTTCTTCTCATAATCTGATTCAGGTGATCGCGAATGTGAACGTTTTTTAGTGCGATCTTTCTTCTTTGCATGTCGATCCGATGACCTTGATCGTGATCTCGAATTTCTCGTTCGACTTTGTGATCTTGAACGTCCTTTCGATGAATGTCGTTCATTGTGATTGTTATTTATGTTTGTACTGCTTACAGACTTTCCTTCCAACTTTTGCTTCGATTCTGTCTTTTCATCTGCATTTGATGAATTTATTGATGGCACTTGACGTTGGATGAAACCGCCCCACATATTGTGAGATGATCCGTTGGTTTTATCAACAATGGTTACAGCTGGAGATGAATTATTACGATGTTCCTTCTTCCTTTGATCCTGATATTGTTTCTTAAGTTCATCGACAGCTGCTTCCAGCTTTTCTGTGTCTGGCTTCCCTCGATGATAAAGCTCCATAATTCGATAACATGCGTCAATCAAATCACATTCTTGCACTTTAAATATCACAAACCATGACGGTGAAGTTGTCAAATTTATGTTGAGTTTACGTGCTGACAATGAAATGCAAGCGCAGGCTATTGTCTCAGGCTGATATCGTACAAAGACATCCGTTCGAAAGGAATCGTTCATGTAGTTCCAGGCAAGTTGAAGCATTTCACGATTTTTATCTTCGTCAAAATTCAAATATTTCAGATAAACCATGATGAGTTTATGTGGATGCTTAACGTGAACACAGAAGCCCAATTCCTTTAGCACTCTTCTCTCAGCTTTTATCACTTGATTTTTAAGATTCACGTAGTTCTGGTCGAGGATCATCGGAGTAATTGGCCTAAAATTATACAAGAAATGAAATAAGATTATTTAGCTTTCACTATCAATTTGCCCATCATCAATGCGATGCCAACAAGTGCGCTTTCGTTTTGATTTAATCCCTTGAATAAATGAAGTTCACTGGATGTATGATTGGAGGTGAAAACGCGCGCGACGCGGCATTTCAGAGACATTTCATTTCATTAAAAAATACTGCGATGTTATCAAAATTGCAGATCGGTTTAATGTGATTTCTGATCAGATATTTTCATATCATCTCAATTCAATTACTTATGATTTTGGAGGGATGTTGTATCGTGTGCGTCGTAAATGGAAGAGAAAAGAAAAATCTTAAGAGAAATAAAAGATTCTGAAACAAACTTGATAATTAATTAAATCATTAACAGGGCTAGGCATATTCAATAAAAAGGACAATTTTTGCTCTTATCCTTTCATTGCTTGAAGGGCTTTCATTATTCACGATTTAAATAACTAAAGGCCCCCAGAGAAACACACACATGATAATGCATAGCATCTTACCTACAAAACTGATTAATGAAAAAATTAATAAATTGCACTTTGGTAAAGAATTCTAATTGTTTGAATTACTTACTTTTGTGCACGAATTTGTTTGATGTGATTGAATACATTCAGAACGTCACGAAGTCTTCTCGGTGCTTCTTCAATCTTCGATGCTAGACAGATACAACCCATTGCAATTGCTTCCATATCGTGACGGACAAATGACTTGGAATAGAAGAATCTTTGGAAAAGAACTTGTCCTGATGCCATGGCGACCTTGAAAGGATAACAAATGACATTACATTAAATCTTAATCGACCATAAATTTTTAATACGTTTTCAAACATTTTCGTTTTACATCATCAACGGATGTGATGCGTGAACACGATTATTTTTTACAAACATGGCGCGGGAATACATTTTTTCCTTTTTATGTTAAGAAAACTTATTAATACTCACTTGTGGTAATTTTAGTAAGATTCCTGCTGTTTGTATAAGTTCACATCCGAGAATACGAAGATCTAACTCGATATCTTTTGATAAACCATCTTGTTGACTCACTGTCGAAGCTTCTAATTTCTCGGATGATAATATCGCATTTTCTAGCGTTAAAATGATCTTTCCATAGTTTCTTTTTAGTGCTTCTTTGTCTTTATTTTCTGTTGCTTCCATTTTAACTATTTATTGTTATTAAAACTCTCTTATAACTAAAGAATGTTGAAATAATTTTTTTTTAAGAATTGAGAAATATTTTTTTTGTCTTCTTAGTTCACGTTTAGAAATGTAGAGGCGCTGTAATCTGGCACGTTTTAAACGCAATCAAGAAGACCGTTAAAATTTCAATCCTTTCCATTGCATTTTATTGACGTTTCTAGAATTTATTAATAAAGTATTGAATCAGAGTTTACAAGTTTTAATCTATTTATTCATAATAAGTCAATTTAATTCATTATTACTTAACAAAATAAGGAAAACAATTTTGCTTTTCGATGATTGTTGCACAATGTTGTTGCTGTTAATGTTTCAATGACTTTGGATGCGGTACCTCAAGTTAAATAGCAATGTACAGTTGAGTCGTTTGTAGTGAAAAATTACGAGTCTTTTAACTAACATAATTTTTTTAATGGGAATTGAAATAAAAGGTTGATAAGGCTGAAAAGTGATATCTTAATCTTTATGAAGCTAGCGGTGATAGGCTTTTAAAGCAACAAACCCGGAGATTATTGATTGAATGGAAATTTCTTACGCTTGCAAAGAAAATTCAAATTAAGTGAAAAACCTCGTGAAAAAGAATCATCGTAGAAGTTATGAAATTAACAGCATCTGAGATAATCGCTTACAAAACATCTACATTTGCATGGTTCTTCAAATTGCGTAATAAGAAGATTCTTCCGCAATTCATTGCTATTTCATTTAGTTATATTTTGTCAAGGTGAAATCAACGATTTGCGTTTTTATTGTTGCTGACAATTGTATCAGATTTCATATTCTTGAGAAACTTATTTTTAAACTCGATTCATGAGTGCGGAAATTAGAGTTCAAAAACTAATGACAAAAATCCAATTTTAAGTTTCTTTTAAAAAAGAAGGAGCATTGTGAAAAAAGTGTCGAAGAAAACATTAAAAAAGTTACTAAAACATTGTGGTATAAAACAGTTCAGTTCATTCATGTAAGAACATTCAGTATGAGAAAAAACGTGCACACCTTTCGTCACATTTATGTCTTGTGACAATATTAATCGGGAAGTTGAAACTACTACGACACACCATTATTCATCAAAGAAAAATATAAAAATTAGTGACACTTGTTGTTAACGCGGCGCGGCGCTACTACACTACTAGTCGTGCTATAAATAATATAAAAATCTTAAATGTTTTGTTTAATGTTTTCAGTCTTTTCTCGAGTGTTGACCAAATCAGATGTAAATGAAATTTTAAACTGTGATGAAATAAGCCGCAACTGAACAAATAAAATTTGTGTATAAAAATCCTAAAATTATTATTTAGTGCATTGAGTGCAATTGATATAGCTTTTATAAATATAACAAACAGAAAGCAAATACATATTACGAAAGAAATTTCGACAAGGACATAAAGTTGCGAAAGTGAACAAAGAAATAGCCAATATTTCAGAGACGCAAGAGTTGATTATCTAGTAAATAATATTATGAAAAATTTAAGTCTAAATTTTAATGAAACCGCATCGACAATTAAGGATGTAAGCTTCAAGGACGTTGTCATTATCGGTATGTAGATAATCTAGAAAGAACTTTCACTGAATATTAACAATTCTAAAAGCGAGACGTTGTTTAACAACTTTCCGGCATTAGTCATGAACTGGTTTTCGATTAGACATGAAGTTGATTAACAAGTGGTTGTGAGGTCGGATCAGGATGATGACCGTACTTTAAGAAATAAAAAAAATTGATCAATTTTTCTTTCTTTTGCTGACTTCATGCCTGAATGTGATTTGTTGGTTGATAAGAAAAATCATTCAAATAATGACGCAAGACCTTAACGATCCCCTTTTTAATCTTAAATCGTCATCATTATTTGTTCTTTTTTACTTCAAGATAACTGAATCTACTTGACTTTAAGATAATTTTAATCAACACCATTCAAAGTTTAAGAGAAATTGTAAATGCCTTCATAGAAGTTTCCCGAGTTTTGCGCATAAATTATTGATCAAGAACCACATAACAATGAAATATTTTTCGCTCCAAATTAATTATAACTCTTACGAAGCAATCTTGCGTCTTCCTTCCACTCTGAATAAATTATTTACTGATTGACTTCGTCATTGGAATTTGTTTTTCCGTCGAGTCATTTTACTCCCATCGATAAGCTTTAATGAAAAAGATAAATAATATCGAAGAAAATTGTTCCATTGTTTAATTTTTGATACTTATGAGTACTGATCGTGGCTAATTTAAGATAATGATTATTTGCGTGTTATAAAAATTAATATCGTGTCACGTTTCACGCGGCTATGGTTGACCAGATCAATAATTTCTTATTTACATATTTTATTAAACTGCAAGTCATCACGAGACATCAAAAATTTCAAGATCACCTTCAATTAATTTCAATTGATTAAAAGAACTTACCCGTGCAAATATTACTAAAAGTATTTGCCGATTCATCTTCCATTTGTTTTCAACTGTTATTTACATAAATGGAATGAAGTAGGTACTTGCTTTTCGTTCGGAAATTTCCGAAATTATGAACATTTTTGTGCTTTACGATAGATAAGTATGAAAATATCACATGTAGACAACAATAAATTCATTTATGAAGTGACATAGTTCAATTCATACTGAGACTGTTGCTAAGGTCAACCAGCTCTTTTTAAATTCAAAAAAATTTCCACATCCAATAAACTTGAACTCTGTAATGTGAAAGATTTGCAAGTGGTTCAAGGAATTGTCGAGAAAGAAACCAGTTCACCATGGCAATGAAATACTTTTGAAAATGAAATATTTTAATGCATTTGCATTTGAATATTTTTCATTTTAATTGTCGCCATTCAGAATTCTAGCGACATGCAAAATTCTTTAAGTTGTAAACATTTCTTCAACCAAATGAAACTTAATAGATTGTATGAAAAAAAGAAGTTTTGTTTATACATATCAACATATAAACGATTCACTTTAGTTCATGGCCACTAAACTTGATAATTCTAATGAATCTTTTCTAAAATCGTTTCAATTAGGAAATGGACCCAGTGGCATTTCACTCTCATATTTCTTAGCTGGAAATTTACCATATTGGAAGCCAGAAGANGTTGTCAATCAATTATTGAAATTTAAAAATATATAATTGAAATTTCCAATAAATTTGTCAACCTCCAACAGATCGTATGAGAACAATTTCTTCATTTTTACTTATGCTGATAAGTTTTAAAAATCTGGTGAATCATTTGATGAACCCCAAAAGTCGTTGAATATGATTTTTTTTAATGTGAAATTCATCCAATTCATTGAATAGAGTTGAAAGAGCATGGTAGCTCTTCATTTTAGCTCCTTATGCATATTTACAAAAGTCTTGTGGTGCTTTTCTTTCTTCTTACTGAATATTTGCAATTCGTGGATTTTTCATGACTGAAAATGTGTCGAGTAGTGTAATAGTCGCATTTACGATGTATAAATAAAAGACTTTTAATTGGGCCGTTGAGGCCGCTAACACTAAATAAACTTTATTCACTTCTTCATTGCTTTCTTAATTCTTCTGACACGGGGTAAACTACTTTCGCTCATAATTATTTGAGGGGCCAACCTATTCTACTATTGCCTAACTAATACAACTGCTTAAACCATTACATCTCTCCCCTTCTTTGTAATTTTGTTAATTTCTTTCTTGTTTCACACTGCACGAATTGTCATATTCCTTTGGTGTTTGATTTGCAATTTAAAACAATCTTCATTTTGCTTCGATAATCTCGCTGATGTTCTTGTCCCACGAAGTCCTTATAATGTTGTTGATCGCGACTTTGTGACATCATAACTTAACGATTCTCCCACATTTGTTGCAACTCTTCCCAACCGTCTTTAAACGCCTTCAACCGTTCACACAAGAACATATATTGTGGATCTGTGTTTGTTGATGGATCAGATATTAAACCTTCATCATATTTCATCGTTTTCCTGTAATCTTCTGTGTAGTTATCAATTTCTTCACGAATACTTGTGGCTTCTCCGGATGATCCAAAGGATGATCGTACTCAATCGCATCAGCTTCATGTTTAAGTGCTGTGAGTTTCACTTCTACTTCCAGTTATGCAGCGAGAATTGTCATCAAGGGAGTACTATAGAAAGAAAAAAAAATGAGAAATATGCCATATAATTTATCGCTTGCACAATAAGATTTTGCTTTCGATTTGAATGCTTTTGATTTGCAATCAAAGCGTATAAAATTGCAAGGATCATTGCAACGAGTGGTTGTTGAAAACGTCGATAAATTTCATCATAATGATTGAGAGCATGTTTATAACTGTTAGAAAGTAAACAGTAATTAGCAAGAAGCATATAAACTATCGGTGGAACTTTAGTTGTAAATGGAGAGACCTTTTCAAACAATCTCATAACAAATCGGTTAAATCTTGAATCTTGAGTATGGTAAATGATGAGATTGAAAAGAATCCAAAATCGTGGCTTGTCTCTGTCAGTATTGAAGAACTCTCGAATCTTATTATAGCCGTAAGTTTCTTCTTTGTTGTATAAACACGCAATTGTTCCGATGAAGTCAATTTCTCGAATATGACTTTGAAGTCGCCGACTTGACATTGCAGCAAATGACAATCGTTGTAATTGAACGTATCTTATATTTGTCCAAGCCGTATTAACAAGATCAAGAAACAAATTCCAATCATCNATTTAATTCATTATTACTTAACAAAATAAGGAAAACAATTTTGCTTTTCGATGATTGTTGCACAATGTTGTTGCTGTTAATGTTTCAATGACTTTGGATGCGGTACCTCAAGTTAAATAGCAATGTACAGTTGAGTCGTTTGTAGTGAAAAATTACGAGTCTTTTAACTAACATAATTTTTTTAATGGGAATTGAAATAAAAGGTTGATAAGGCTGAAAAGTGATATCTTAATCTTTATGAAGCTAGCGGTGATAGGCTTTTAAAGCAACAAACCCGGAGATTATTGATTGAATGGAAATTTCTTACGCTTGCAAGGAAAATTCAAATTAAGTGAAAAACCTCGTGAAAAAGAATCATCGTAGAAGTTATGAAATTAACAGCATCTGAGATAATCGCTTACAAAACATCTACATTTGCATGGTTCTTCAAATTGCGTAATAAGAAGATTCTTCCGCAATTCATTGCTATTTCATTTAGTTATATTTTGTCAAGGTGAAATCAACGATTTGCGTTTTTATTGTTGCTGACAATTGTATCAGATTTCATATTCTTGAGAAACTTATTTTTAAACTCGATTCATGAGTGCGGAAATTAGAGTTCAAAAACTAATGACAAAAATCCAATTTTAAGTTTCTTTTAAAAAAGAAGGAGCATTGTGAAAAAAGTGTCGAAGAAAACATTAAAAAAGTTACTAAAACATTGTGGTATAAAACAGTTCAGTTCATTCATGTAAGAACATTCAGTATGAGAAAAAACGTGCACACCTTTCGTCACATTTATGTCTTGTGACAATATTAATCGGGAAGTTGAAACTACTACGACACACCATTATTCATCAAAGAAAAATATAAAAATTAGTGACACTTGTTGTTAACGCGGCGCGGCGCTACTACACTACTAGTCGTGCTATAAATAATATAAAAATCTTAAATGTTTTGTTTAATGTTTTCAGTCTTTTCTCGAGTGTTGACCAAATCAGATGTAAATGAAATTTTAAACTGTGATGAAATAAGCCGCAACTGAACAAATAAAATTTGTGTATAAAAATCCTAAAATTATTATTTAGTGCATTGAGTGCAATTGATATAGCTTTTATAAATATAACAAACAGAAAGCAAATACATATTACGAAAGAAATTTCGACAAGGACATAAAGTTGCGAAAGTGAACAAAGAAATAGCCAATATTTCAGAGACGCAAGAGTTGATTATCTAGTAAATAATATTATGAAAAATTTAAGTCTAAATTTTAATGAAACCGCATCGACAATTAAGGATGTAAGCTTCAAGGACGTTGTCATTATCGGTATGTAGATAATCTAGAAAGAACTTTCACTGAATATTAACAATTCTAAAAGCGAGACGTTGTTTAACAACTTTCCGGCATTAGTCATGAACTGGTTTTCGATTAGACATGAAGTTGATTAACAAGTGGTTGTGAGGTCGGATCAGGATGATGACCGTACTTTAAGAAATAAAAAAAATTGATCAATTTTTCTTTCTTTTGCTGACTTCATGCCTGAATGTGATTTGTTGGTTGATAAGAAAAATCATTCAAATAATGACGCAAGACCTTAACGATCCCCTTTTTAATCTTAAATCGTCATCATTATTTGTTCTTTTTTACTTCAAGATAACTGAATCTACTTGACTTTAAGATAATTTTAATCAACACCATTCAAAGTTTAAGAGAAATTGTAAATGCCTTCATAGAAGTTTCCCGAGTTTTGCGCATAAATTATTGATCAAGAACCACATAACAATGAAATATTTTTCGCTCCAAATTAATTATAACTCTTACGAAGCAATCTTGCGTCTTCCTTCCACTCTGAATAAATTATTTACTGATTGACTTCGTCATTAGAATTTGTTTTTCCGTCGAGTCATTTTACTCCCATCGATAAGCTTTAATGAAAAAGATAAATAATATCGAAGAAAATTGTTCCATTGTTTAATTTTTGATACTTATGAGTACTGATCGTGGCTAATTTAAGATAATGATTATTTGCGTGTTATAAAAATTAATATCGTGTCACGTTTCACGCGGCTATGGTTGACCAGATCAATAATTTCTTATTTACATATTTTATTAAACTGCAAGTCATCACGAGACATCAAAAATTTCAAGATCACCTTCAATTAATTTCAATTGATTAAAAGAACTTACCCGTGCAAATATTACTAAAAGTATTTGCCGATTCATCTTCCATTTGTTTTCAACTGTTATTTACATAAATGGAATGAAGTAGGTACCTACTTGCTTTTCGTTCGGAAATTTCCGAAATTATGAACATTTTTGTGCTTTACGATAGATAAGTATGAAAATATCACATGTAGACAATAATAAATTCATTTATGAAGTGACATAGTTCAATTCATACTGAGACTGTTGCTAAGGTCAACCAGCTCTTTTTAAATTCAAAAAAATTTCCACATCCAATAAACTTGAACTCTGTAATGTGAAAGATTTGCAAGTGGTTCAAGGAATTGTCGAGAAAGAAACCAGTTCACCATGGCAATGAAATACTTTTGAAAATGAAATATTTTAATGGATTTGCATTTGAATATTTTTCATTTTAATTGTCGCCATTCAGAATTCTAGCGACATGCAAAATTCTTTAAGTTGTAAACATTTCTTCAACCAAATGAAACTTAATAGATTGTATGAAAAAAAGAAGTTTTGTTTATATATATCAACATATAAACGATTCACTTTAGTTCATGGCCACTAAACTTGATAATTCTAATGAATCTTTTCTAAAATCGTTTCAATTAGGAAATGGACCCAGTGGCATTTCACTCTCATATTTCTTAGCTGGTAATTTACCATATTGGAAGCCAGAAGATATCAAATCACATCCTGATGAATTACTCAAAGCTAGACTCACATATTTAGATGCTAGTAAAAGTTTAATGGAACATGATTTGTATTCGTTAACACATGGCTTAGAAGGGCGAACAACAAATCCAGTTTCAATATTGGTAAGACAAATTACATCTTTAATTATTGAAAGAAATGAATTACCTACAAATGAAGTTTCATTTTCCCATTAGTTTGATAGTTTGCAGCATCCCGGTGCTGATTTAGGAATCAAACTTCAATCTATGTTAAAATATAAGCATTTTAAGGATAAAGAAGTGAGAAGACATAAAAAATGAAATCATATTCGATTGTTAAGTATTTCATTGATAAATCTTTCAGATCGATCATGTAGTGCTAGGAAAAGGAAAGCCTGGCGGATCATGGCATCGCATGGATCCAAATCTACGAACCTTAAGTCTTTCTGCTTGGATGTCCCTGCCCAATTTGAATTTTGATGAATGGGAACAACAGTATCAGTCGAGCTTAGAATATGAAATCGATGAATCGAGTGACAATTCACAAAAAATAGAGGAGAAACATCCCTCAGACAGATATTTAAGAAGCATAAGCGAAGAAGTTAAAACGAGAGCACTCGTAGCATCTGTAGCAGAATATTATGAAAATTACGTACATCTTATGAACCTTGATAAATTTTTTCGGAACGACACCATCGTTGTCAGCATTCGCCAAGTTAAAGAGAACGAGAAATTTAATAATAGTAAATTAGAGAATGCGAATTGGATTGTTCACGGGTAATAAAAATCTTTTTTTCTTCTCTCTCTCTATTTTCATGTCGCAACTTAAAGATTTTATTTTTATTCATTTTTTCCCTTTCTTTTCTTCATTAATTAAAGTTATGACAAAGCTTCGAAGAGACCTTTTATCATTGGATGTAAGAAAGTTGTCATGGCTAATGGTGGAAGTGACTTGGTGAATCGTCTTGGAGTCCGTGGTGAGAATAAATCACTATCGTGGCTTAAATATGAATTGCCATTATTGGAAAGCTCAATTGAGAATGTGAAAGAAGGAGAAAAGATTCAAATGAAACCTGTGATGATTGTCGGTGCTGGATTATCAGCAGCAGACGCTGTTATAGCATGCCGTAATGCTGGTATAAATGTCATTCATGTCTTTAGAGGGGTTGCTGGTGGATTTGTAAGAAATAATTTAAAAGATTAAATATAATTCATCTCTCACCTTAATCTTCTTTAGCTTGGATTACCCCAAACATATTTTCCCGAGTACAACATGGTCTACAACATGATGAAAGATCCTAAAACAAATTACGAATTTTATCAACCGTTACCTGAAAGCACTTTAAAAGAGATTAAATCGTCAAATGGAAAACATCTGGTCACAGTTCAAAGCTTGAGAAGTGAAGAGTGTCAAACGTTTGACGTTTCGTATTGTGCAATTTTAATTGGTTCACGACCCGATCTGTCTTTGTTACAACACTTGAACAATTTTTCACCAGCACGACAAATTGTATCGACAACTTTAAATGAAAATCCATCGGAAAATATTGCGATTAGGGCATTGAGAAGATTTAAAATATTTTGTGAAAAATGCAAGCACTTAAATCTTTGCTTTGGGATCAAAAATCGGAATATCATAATTAATAGTTTAATTGACGATGATAATTGTTGTACTAAAGACTGTTCAATGCGCAAGAGCTGTCAATGCGATCGTTTATTAAATGATAAGAAATTGAAATGTGATGAGCGAGGTGTAGGATTTGGTGAAGATCCAACTAAACCAGTTGATTGCAAAAATAATCCAATTGCTGTCAATAAATTCACAAATGAACTTCTGCATGTTCCAGGAGTATACGCTTTGGGGCCGTTGGTTGGTGATAATTTTGTGAGATTCATTGCCGGTGGTGCGCTTTCAATTGCATCCACATTTTTAAATGAAAAGTGAGAAAATTTTACCCGATAAAGTTTTTTTTATTAATTTCATCTGTGGTTACCCGAGGGGAAGATAAAAGTTCATCGTCAGTCATTGATTATTGTGTTCTGTTTTTCATTTCCCGTAACTTTGGAAAGTTTTCGACATGTGAAAGCTTTTATTATTAAATTTTTGTTTGCCGCAGGCAATTTCAGCTGTTTAATTGAATGACAATTTTTGGCAGCTTTCCTTTTTTCTTATAATGTACACAAATTTATTTATTTTCATTAATTTTGTAATTAGGTAAGAGAGCTGAATAGAAAGCTGATAATTGTTTGACTTCATTGAAGATTTTACATGACAACTCTTTTAACTTAACTTAGCTTAGACAAGAAATGAAGTGAGTTTATCATCCTTTGTGGAAAAGCTCCCTTTGCACGCATGAAATTTTTTTACCTAACTTAATGATTCGATCAGAAATGAGCAAACAAAAAAAGAAAAAAATTGAGAAAAGTTCAATGAAATTTCTTTCTAAAAATAAAATAAAACCTTTGGCATTCGTTCATCTTGATGATTCCAATCATTCCAATCACAACAAAAATTGAAGAAAAATACAAAAGAAGCTTATTTGATATTTAATTAAAAAAAATTGTGTCTTGACAAAATAGAAAAAAACAAAAAGAAAAATCGTTTTTTAATTGCTTCAACATGTTTTCAGCTGTTGCAGAATAATTTTCAGGTTGAACATCATAAGATGGTTGCTGCAGGCAACGAAAAAAAATTTGCGAATAAAAGTTTAATGAGCAGGTTGGATAACATAATTTGTTGAGGTCGTGTTAATTAATTCAAAGTTCGTTATCTTAAGATTACTCAGAACGAAGCTTTAAAAACACAAATTACGTGAAAACTTTTTGAATGAAAACAATGTTTATGAGATTTCAATTATCATCATTGAATAACAATAAAAGCTTAATTTCCCACACTTCAAAAAGCTTTCCAATTTAAACAACTTTATATTAATAAAGTTAGATTTGTTTTGTTTCAACAACTGCTTTAGTGCTTTTGTCGAGTCATTGTCGATGACTAAACTTTTATCATATTTGTTTCATGTACATTTGCCCAAAAAAATGAACATTTAATTTGATGATATTATTGACGTTTCTCATTTTCTTTATCTTGATTCATACAATATCGTCGTCTTGTGTCTTATTCATATATGACAAATTAAATCGAGACCTGAGATGTTCGATAACAAATATTAAATTTACGATGAGGAGAAAAAATTTATAATGTTTTAGTCTTTTTAATCCTTCCTGATAAGGAATTAATTATTAAGCTACTTGCCTTATGGCATTGAAGACATTCATTCCTCTTTCAAACGTCTAACGAAAGACATGAAGAAACTAAGTTTTGGAATTTTCATTTTTTTACTCGCTACGACAGCGAAATTAACAGCGGCTATTGATTCGGTTGATCCGAATGAATTTTGTTTATTTCAAATCGGGTTTTTCGCACATCCTAATCCAACTTTGTGCTACGTTTACTTCAATTGTTTCGTAAGATTTTTAATAATTGATAATAATGGAATTCTAAATTTAAAGATTTATTGAAGTGGGTCTTTGGCACTTTGACTGAGTGCCCACCTGATAGCATATTTGTTTCTGGTCAACCTATAGGAAGCCAATGTCAACCTGGAAATTGGATAACATGTGAATTAGATCCACCCACAGTCCCGACAACAGTACCAACAACAGCACCACCACCCACAATCCCTCCTACGTTACCACCCACCGTCCCACCCACAATCCCACCTACGTTATCACCCACCGTCCCACCTACGTTACCACCCACCGTCCCACCGACAACAGTGCCACCTACAATCCCAGAAGGGATTTGTGATGGAATAATTTTCGGTTCAATACCTGATCCAACATCATGTACCCGCTTCATCTTCTGCATTCTTGGTAGTGGTGAGATTTTGAATTGTCCAGTCACCGAACCAGTATTTGATCCAAGTGTTTCTGGTTGTGTTGCTGGTAATTATCAATGATTTATTATGCTTAACAATTTGATAAAAAGTTTCTTTGATGTTAAAGGAAATCCCGACACTTGCGAGATATTCACTCCGGGTGAACCAACTGTACCGTAAGTCTATTTTAACTCCTTTGATTCACTGTAAAACTTTAATTGCTTCTGGATTTATTTAATTTGATAAAACAAATCTTTGAATTGTGAACTTTTCTTTGCAGAAGATAAACGAACAATTGCATTATGCTTTAGTTTTTCTCTTTAATTTTTTCAGTACTCCCCCAACACCTGGTCCAACAACAACGACAGCACCACCTACAACTATTCCTCCACCAACCATTCCACCTCCAACACTTCCTCCACCAACAATTCCACCTCCAACACTTCCTCCACCAACGGTCCCTCCCCCAACAGCCCCTCCACCAACAGTTACTCCTCCAACAACCCCACCGGGAGGAATTTTGCCACCATTTGATATTTGCATAGGAAACAATTTCCGTTTTGTTGCAGATCCATCTGCATGCTACAGATACTTCTTCTGTTCATTCGGAATCCCATTGCCAGGTGAATGTGATATTGATAGGATTTTCGAAGAAAGATTACGAGGATGCGTTCTCGGAAACAGAGAGACTTGCGAAAGGGACAGAAGCAACATAAACATCGAAGTGATTACTCGACCTCCAACCATAAATTTTGATGAAAATTCATAATTGATTGCGGTTACGAAAGACGAAAGGAACATTTTGCTTAAGGGCTTCGAGGGTTGATTGTGGTTTGAAGACTTTTTTTTTGTTGAATGAATGGAGTAATCTATGAGATCAACATCAATTTTCTGTGATTTGGTATAAGCAAATGATTCTTATTCTGATATAACCGCTGTCTATGCAGATTCTTATCAATGATTTTATTTTTCTTTCTTTCTAACTTCTGAATAAAAAGCATTTAAAATGGAAATTTTCCAATCGATTTTTTACTTTATTATAGTACCCTGTGTATATACATTATTTTCTTTCATTCTTTTCTTTAAAACTCTATGAGTCACACTACCTGTGCAGAAAGAAAATTTAATCTCTGATGATTCATTCTGATTTTCCTTTCATTCATTCAAATTTTTTTTAATTTTCAGCAAGTGGATTTGTAAATGTTTCCTAAAGTGCTAATGGCAAAACTTTACTTTCATTAAATATGCAGATGGTGCTTTCGTTTTTTTTCAATTATCTTTGGTTTGACGTTCATTTGAAGAGTGAGAAAAATAAGAAAAAGTCAAGTTCTTATTTGTAAGAAAAAGGTTTTCTTTTAAAGTTTGTCAATTTGTCCTAATTTTGTTAAATCTTTTAACTGTTTAGAATTTATCTATGTTGACTTTTAAATTTGAATTATTTATTTAAATGTTTCTTTTTCTGATTATTGCAGATCATTTGTCGAATAGATAATTTTCTTTAGAGAATCGAGAACAATCAATGAAACGTGTGACCAAAAGTTGTCCGTTTGAGTGACATATTTTCCTGAATGCTCTTTCAATGCCCATAATCATTCGTTTGGATATTATTTTAGCTTATTATATAAGAAAACTTTATAATACATTTTAAAACTTTTTCTTATCTCATTTTTTTTCTTATTTTGATCTGACATGACATAAATTATAAACCATGAGTTGTTTCCTGTCTTATTTATTTTCAATTCATATTTTTCCCATTGTCATCTACATACATGTCATTCCTCTAATCTATGTTCATCAATCATATTGTGCTGTCCTAAAAGTAGTTTTATTTACGAAATTTTATTTCCTTTTTTATAAATACGATGACTTTTCCTTTTTATTGAGTTTAGATTATTCTTGAGCCGTTCTTGATTAAATATGTTTTTTCATCATCATTGTCCACAGTAGTGTCTCTGCTTGGATAATAATTGACATATACACATCAGAATGGGATTGGATTGGATTCAACATAATGATTTTATATTTTCCTTCTTTCTTTCTTTCTTTTTTTCTCAGTCTATCAACATCATAATACTAACAACTGTGACATACAAATGAGCGTCTCGATTTAAGGAGTTGGGGAAAATGTGTTTTTCTTTTGTGGAAATGCGTAAACAATCGCATGAAATTATTGTTATATTTATTTACACTTACACATGTGACATGTCTAATCATTCGACTTTAATGGTTTCTCCAATTTTCCGCTCATATTCTCATTAATCCATAAAGTCTACAATTTCATTTCAAAACAATATTTTAAAGGTTCTTCTGTTCAATTTCAAAATCAATTATTATTAATGGACGTTTTGTTTTTCATGTTTAGTTATGGATTTCTTTTTTTTGTGGAATTAGTTTTCAACTAACAACACAAATAACATTTCTGACAGCACAAAGGCGCTAACGGAACTTCACGTATTTATTCGTCATTGTTTTCGTATTCATTGTAAGTAGTTTCCTTTTTGTTTTATTGTGAACTTGTTAAGCATTTAAATGATGGTGTGCATGAAATTATAGATAATTCCTCAAGGCCTTGGTTCTACGACTATTTAATCTCCTACCATCAACTTACAAAGCCCTCAATTTTATTTTATTTTTCTCATTCTGTATGGTGTTTTAAATATTTTCAATTTAAGCCGATTTGTCACTGTGATGTCTGTGATGTGATTGAAAAAATCAATATTAATTGGATGAAATTTTAATCAAAGTTGATTGGTTTAAAATATCTACGTTTTTCCCTGACTTCATTATGTTGTTTTACTTAACAGGGCTGTCATAAGCTCTTACTTATTGTTACATAAGAAATTTCACTTTTATTCTGTAGAAAAATTATTATTATTATTATTATGTAAAGAGCCTGCAAAGAAAATTACTTAAAAGTTCGGAAGAAATTTTTAAAGTGTTTTCTTGGGTGATGAATTGAGGGTTGTCGAAGGTTTGGGATTTTTATTTTTTCTGTTCTTCATAGAACCTTCCAATGTAGTCGAAACAGAAGCTTTTTTATACTTTTAAAACACCTTCGTTTCTCTTGCTTGTTTTATTCTCGTAGAAGTTAATAGAAAAAAAATTGAAGCCAATGGAATTTGTTTTCCATAAGCAACAGAGGAAAAAGAATCTTTTAGCAAATGTTTTGGTTTACAAAGTTTTTGTTTTTGTTTTCTCAACTACATATATGTATATAGAAGTATAAACTTTTTGTATTTTTTTTGGTGATCAAAGATTTTTCTCACGATCTAGACTTAAAAACTTACATAGAATTTTCTATTAAAGTTGAGATAAAAAATGCTTAAAACTAAAGGGTAGAGAATGATTGACAATAAGAAGTTTTGTGACGACGATGAAACAACATTTGGAGCTGGAGTTAAACTTTGTATCTTTTGTCTTACCACTTGTGACTTCCATTTGATGGTGTACAGTGGCGCAGTTCTTGTCATCGCTTGAACTTTCATGACGATTGTTTTAACGTTCCAAGGAAGAGTGAATTGTTTAAATTTATCTCGAGGACAAAATTGATGCAATAAATCGCCCGCATGCATTTTCTCATCCTCGACAGGCGAATACTCATGGAGACTAATGTTCCATGCTGTGCAACTTCTGCTCTGATTCGAAATAACCTGTTAATAAAAGTTTAATAATCCATCACATTCCAACATAAAAAGTTGTGCTTGGTTAAAGTTTATTACTAAACTTATATCTTACCTCAATCATGAGTTGTCGTTCTATATTAGAATCGAGAATCCACAAACATTGTTGATGATAAAAAGAGTTTAGTGAGAAAGCTTGCGAAAAGTTTGCCGAATGAAGTTCGCCGGAATGTGTGGTGAAAGTTTTCTGGCCACACATTGAGTCGGTTATGAAATTATAAGATGCTTTGTAAGTAAAGCCTTTTGTACTCCAAGAGTATTGAGCGATCGAGTATACAAGTTTGATTGGACTCCAGCTTCTTAAACCAACTGGAAGCCATTCAGATCGAAATGATCCGCAAATACAATTAAGTTGCTGATTATCTTCAGTCATCATCATTAAGTGATCGATATTTTCAATGGAATTTAAACCAGTCAAACATTGACATCCACTATCACCACAAACCGTTTGGCACTCGGCATCAGTTCCAAGTCTATCAAGCATATCAATCATTACAGTCACGCTTTGATTTGCAGCCGGAATGAAATAATGAGAACAGTTTAAACTTCCTTCGACATTCCAAAAGAGATGTTCAGTTCCTGGACCTTCAATCGAGCCGAACTCAGGCGATGATAATCCGTAATGATACGTGTCACAAAGTGAATACGGCTGTAAAGTTCCACTCTGTTCTTCATTTTGAAACATAAAAGCTCCGTCAATGAATTCAATATCATTCAAGTCATGTGGTGGCCCAGCACGTCGCAGAACAATAATTATTTGACTACCGGTTGATATAAAAGTTTGAGGCTGAATGAAAGTGCCTTGTTCATTTCTTGCTTTACGTGCTGTTGGCGAGCACACTTTGAACAGCGACTTCTTATGACCGTGCGGATTGACGTCAATTATTTCAATAACACTTCGACATGACGGAGATCTGTTGGAAGGAAAAGAAAGAAAAGAAGACATAAAAAAGTTATAAATGTTTGTTTGCTTGTTTGTTGAGGAAAATTTTTAAGAAAATATTTTACTTGAGTCGATAATTGAAAAGCGAAAGATGAACAACTTCATTTGTTTTCCCTTTGAAAATGAGTCGGCAGCTGTTGGCATATGATCTTGTTCTTGAATCGAAGTGGCCGGAACGTCCACCGTATTGTTCAGTTATCACTTGATCACATGGAGTAAACTTTGGTGGTGGTGTTGCTAAATCATGTGGAGGTTCATGATGATTCGAATCCAAATCATATGATGGCGTTTGTGGCTGTGGTGTCGTTGTCAATCCTTCGATGAACGTTAATGTCGCTGAGAAGCCATTATAATCAAATGGCGGAATTTGATGGCCGGAGTTGAATTCTAACAGTAAATTGGGACCTGAGAAAATTAATTCCCTGTGATGACATTAAAGAAGAAGAAAAAAAAGGTAAATTATTTTATGTCATACGGACTTCTTTCCTTTCTAATAATAATATAATATAAGATGATGAAAAGATATATTTACTCTCGCTTATCCTGACCGCAAACTGTAGCGAGTCGTTCAGAACTTGGAGCAAGACCTTCATATAAAGCAATAAAATGTGTACCGCAATGTCTGTAAATGACATGAAAAAAGGTTGTGGAAATGTCAATAAGTGAATAAATTTAGTTCAGCATCGAAAAACTCACTCTTCTGGAAGTAACAGGGAATTGAATACAATTTTAACCTTCGTATGTACAGATGATGTTGTTATATGATATCTACATATTAAATTTGGACTGAAACCAATGGAGCATTAATTAAAATGAATGTTAATTTAGCACTCGAGATTTTATTTATCTTACGGATATATCCCTGGAAATCCTGGGCTTGCTATTGCACATGAAGAAGGTGTTCGGCACGAATAGTCATTGTAAGACCAATCGCAATCTAGATTCATTTTATATTCAATATCGACATGAAAAACAAACAGACAGAAGTGTTTAAAACTTACCTGTTGAAGTTATTTTTTGGCCTGATGTTAAACCGAAAGCAGACACAGGAAAAAAACGAAGAAAAACTTTTAATAAAGAAAAACATAAAGTTAAAGCCGTCGAGAATATTTTACCTCCTTTCGGATGAAATCCAACAATTGGATTAGATAGCGATGTGAAACTGAAGTAAGCTAAAAATTGCGATCGAAATGTCTTCTCAGATATTCTGACAAAGAAAGGGAGAAAAAAAGAGAAGATAAATGCAAAGTCATTTGAATTTCATATCCTTTTATAATATTGAATGTTATCATAAAAGCTTATGCTGTTTGCTTTCAATAACTTAGCATTTCATTTGCAAATGTGTAAAAGAAACAAAAAGACAAAAAAGTGATGAAATTCTATCCTTTCTCCGCTTTTGTGTATTCCATTGGCGTTGGCGTAAATTATTTAAGGTACATTTACATCAAAATAATTCTTTTAATGAAAGTTGTTAAATTTTCGACAAACTTTGATATTGAGTTCAGCTAAATTCTCGTTTTTATGTCTTCAAACTTTAACGAGGTTCCTGTTTCCGATCGGAACTAAATGTTATGTATATATTCATACCTGAATAACAGCGTCGTAATTCCTTCGTCGGAAAATAAAACTGCCGGAGGCGCATAACGTTCATTTACTCCGCAAAGTTCTGCTCCATTAAAATCATCTCTCTCGTCAAGTCCTCCAAACCTCAAGTGCCCTCCTTCACATCTGTAAAGTTTTCATTTCATTAACAACTTCACACTTGATGAACGAGGAAACTCTTTGATGAGAAAACTTACTTTTTTCCATTGAATTTTCCCACCGACACAAGTCTATAAACTTGCAGTTCAACTCGTTGACCTGGAGCGGGCCGTAAAATGTAATAACAAAATGCTGGTCCTTGAAGTATCGGCGAGCGTATTTGTCCCAATGCTTGACCCGAACTACCTTGTAATAACTTAGAATCTAAGGTCACATTACACACTGTAAGCAATAAATTATAACTCGGATTGGTATGTATTTAGAAGGTGAAAGTTCTTATCGGACTCACTGTTTAAACAATGATTTTCTAAACCACATTGGGAACAGCGATTGGGCGCTTGTTCACCACACTGACATCCACCTTTTACACAGCATGCACAGTTTAATTGATGTCCATTATGCTGTTTATGATGACCATTGTGTGTCGTTAAATTTTTATCAGATGTTTCATGTTTGTCTTTTGCGTGATCATGTTCATTATCCTTCCATGAACATGCGCAACCTACAGACTTTCTTGTCCATAGATCCACTTGACCTGTGGTCACGTTGTTCATGTAGCCAAATAAAAAGTATATAAAGAAGGAAGAAAGTAAACGATAAATCATTTTGAGGGTATAAAGTGCTATCCAATTATGTTTAAGGTCGAGAAGATGTTAATTCAAATTAAAGGCTCACTTTCAGAATCCACTTGAATTGGTGACCACGCTAACTGAGCGGTGATTGTTGGCAATAACAAAATAATTAAATAAAAGGATGTCACTAACGCTACTACACGACATATTCCTTGGCTTTTAATCCTTCGAACCATGTTGTAAACTTCCCAAAATTCGCATAGCTTTAGCTCATATTAATTCATCTCTCGATGATTAAATAATTCAATCTGAAAATTGTCAAACGAAATGAAAGAATAGAAAGTTCAAAACGTTGTGACCTCAGGCGAAGGAATTAAATTTAACGCATGGAAAAATCTATAAACATAAAAAATGCATGGTCCATACAATTTATGAATTTTTAACACGAAAATTTCCAAGCTCACACCCTTTCAAATGTAAGCATTTTAGGGGCGGAAAACAAATCGAAATAAGTTTATTATGGTGATGACTAATGCTTTGTCGAGAAAATTTCAAAGGAAATTGAAAGAATAAATCAATAAAGTAGAAGAAATTTTCTGATGCTGATTTTGAAAGTTCGAAGATTCATAAACTTCCCCTATGCGATCACAATGATAATAATTTTCCTTTGCAAAAAAATTCACGATAATTTTTCAATTTTCACAGATATTTTCTCATGATTTTAATGTTCTTTGTATCAATTTTATTCACAAAATATCTTACGACTGTGTTGTCGCCACTTTAATCTTTCATCTTCACCTTTTGACTTGTAAACTTTTTAAAAACTCAATTTTTTCATGATTTCCGTGCAGAGGAAGGAAAATCTCGAGCATTACTTTGACAAAGGCGTAGAGTAATGTGAAGCCAATACTTTCCAATGAAAACGAATGCGCATGCGTTCAAAAACTGAATTTTTTCTCGCGATGAAGAGCTTCACATGCTTTCTGAGTTTTCTCTTCTGTAAGTAATTATCTACAATTATTACTGCATGTTGCATATTTATGTTTTTATGTTGCATTTAACATTATCACATTGGAATCTAAACAAGATTTATCTATTTATGGACAGTCAAGCTTTCAACTTCAACTTTTTTTGGATTTTTGAAATCATGCAATTGAGTTTTTTATTTATCCTTCAATAAAATGTTTTCTATATTTTCACATCGTTGTCCATGACAAGCCAAGTCATATCGTTTTGTTTTCAGTAAAAGTATTAATGACATTTATCTTAGTTGCGTTGATTTGGGGTGGAGATGATACTTCAGTTGCGTTTGATACATTGTCAAGTGGCTTTTCATTGATTGCCAACCTGTGGAAGAAGTTTAAATTGAATCTTCTTAAATGACATACAATTCATTGTTCTTACCATGGCAATCGACTTTGAAGCTCGAGTCGATATCTGGGATGGCTGATAGCATAAACATAGGGATCGAGACACGCAACAAATTTGCATGTACAAGCAGGAATCATTGTGACGCCAGGAGTTAACAAACTTTTGTCTCCAAACGCCCCAATGAGTGCGAGAACTGCGTATGGCGTCCAAGAAGCAACAAATAAAAAGCAAACTGTTATGCACGCCTTCGCAATACGAACTTCTACCGATGTTTTTCCTGTATCCTGATTTGATCTCAAACTGTCAACATTCATTTTTTTGCTTGTGCTTTCAAAGCTTTTTCGTGATTGACGACATGTGATACAATCTGACTGTAGTAATAGAGAATCATCGACATCGGAATGACGTAGGAAAATGTAAAAATCGTCCCAACAAACATCCGATTATCAAAAGTGTCAGTCAAATAGTCAAAAGTGCATGATGTTAAGTAGCCTTCAGGTACATAACGTCCCCAAAGTTCTAATGTTGGAACAACTGCCCATGGAACACTAAACATTGTTAACAAATTAATAAAATAAGAATTTATTAATAATGTTACGTCACTTACGTATAGAACCATATGATAAACACCATCAAGAGTGCTTTTGTCATTGAGAGTTTTCCATCCATTGGTCTCGCAATTGTATTATATCTGTCGTATGCTATGAAGGCCTAAAATAATATTTATTTAATAAAAAAATTCTCTTCATTCTTACTGACTATTTTTACGTTTGTCAATCCCGCTCCTATTCCACTAAGCTTTAAAAAATAACTGTGAAGTGAATTTCTGCTTTAAAATTTGATACATTTCCAACTTACAGTTCCAAGAACACCGAAAATTTTACAACCCAAAATTCCCAAAGCAAATCCGCGATTAAATGAGTTGTAGATGAAAATTGGTGTCTTGACCATCATAACGAAGTCACAGATTGCGAGATTGACAATAAAAACATTTGATGGCGTTCGAAGTGACTTTGCACTGTGAAAAGATTTTCTTTTTGATCGTTATCTAAAATTTTTATAAATTAAATTACGCTGTGAACACCCAAATGACAAGCCCATTTCCCGTTAAAGAGAGAAACGTAAATCCGATGTAAAGGAGAGCTAAAAGATAATGCAAACTAGCTTCTGGCTCTTGAAAATTCAACCAATGTTCTGGAATTTGCTTAAGATCTTCCGGTGGCACATTCCAACCGAGAAGCCTCACTTCTTGGTTAGTCGATACTCTTGCTTCGGGTCGTTGTAAGTTGGATAAATTGTTATGAAAATATTCCATTGTATCGTAAACTATTTCGAGGTAATGTTCTTATCAAAACTATTTGTATAAATATTTTCGAAGCCAATCCTTTATCGTCTTCCTGTTGGCTATAGCACTACTGACCGACTGATATTTTCACAGTCCAATGACCAACATTTTATAATGAAGGAAGGCTAATTTAATTAAATATTGAGAGTTATCTGATTCGTATTAAATGGTAACGAAATTGAACGTAAGCTTTAAACACGCGAGGATTATAAAAAAGATTATCCTAGATCATTTTACCCTGACATTGAACAGTTGTCGAAATTTAGAAGCCTTTAAAATTTGATTAAGTTGAGTAAGCATACATAACATTAAATCATTTTCTTGTTAGGAAAACATTATTGATAATGTAATAAAAAGATTGCATTACAAATTGATCTTATTTAATTCTCAACATGCGATATTAAATGATGACTTACATGATAAAGTTTTGAAAACCTGTCGAATCTCTTTTATGCAAAATAGATAATAGTTCGTCATCATCACAGTTATGCTTTTCTCTTCTATTTCCATAATTTTTCTCCTGCGTCGCAATACTTAATATGTTCACGATTAATCAATCTTCAGTTGTCGACAGCTTCTATGTTTAAACTTTTACTTTATTATCATGCGATTCGATATGGATGTTCACAACTTAAATCATCCGCTAAACTGTCATTCATTGACCTGTGGCTTAAGTGTTTCTGGAATTTAACTTTCATATCAACGTTTCTCTCCACAGTAACAAGAATGAATAAAATAATAAAAAAAAACTTTTGTTTTCTGACCCACTTTGTGCCATGCTTGGAGACTTCGAGTACCTTGAATCATAAATTCATGATAAAAGAGTGACGAAGAATGTAAAGTTTTTTTTGCGATCATAAAAACGTAAACAACCAAATGGACGCAAAAGAAAAGTGGATTTCGAGACAGTTGGGTATGAATGATAGCGAAAATACGTGAAAAAAAGAGAGAAAGATGATTTCAACCGGTTTCGCTTAAAGAAAGAAAGACTTTCTTCCAGAATTTAAAACTTCAAAGAAGTATGAAATGAATAGCGTCAGTCGTGTCGCTATCTTCAACGCGTTCGGTAATCTTGTTAAATATTTTACAAACTTTTCTCTAATTAAATAATAAAGTGTCCACAACAAATAAGCTTCTTGTTTCCATGGTTTAACACTTTGAAGAAAGTACATGTTTTTAAAGTGTTAAATTGTTTATAATCCACAACATTCAATCCTTTAAGCTATTTGTAAGTTACATTTGTCTTGACTGGTTTAAAATGTGAAACCATAAAAACTGAAAAAAGCGCCTAGAAATTGTTATTTGAGTATCAACATATATTAGCATAAAATAGTTGAGCATAAATTGATTTTATTGTTCATAAATTATGAATAGCCGTGAACGCATTCGTATTTTCAAAGAAGACAGAAAAGGTTCTTTAAATGCGAACCAGGTTTTGAGAAGACTTTCAGTGTTGTGTGAAGGCAGACAATATCTTGAAGCTGCACACTTAGTTAATCGACTCGGATCTTCAGCATTATGTGTGGTTGCAACGGAAATGCCATTGGACTTGTTGGCAGAAGCCTTGCCTTACAGTTCAACTTTATTGGAATGCTTGTTTACCAAGTGAGTTTAAGTGAAGATGTTTACAAAGATGCTGATAAGGTGAAAGTTTGCATTTTGAAATTGAAGATGCTGTTTTGCAAATAAAATTATTATTCAAAGTGCATTGAGTACACGATGCAGTTATAAACATGCCTCGATAATCATGCAAAGACTTTCATTTGAAAGGCATAAAAATAAAACATTTAATGTCTTCATTCTTATGTTTAGATTGAATGGATTGCTAATTGGATCAAAACCGAATGTACATGTTGATCGAATCATTTGGCATCTTGTGAAACTTTTCGGTAGTCCATGCGATTATTCACTAATCAGAAGATGTGAGAAACTTATTGGTCTCATTGGGATATGGAAGCCCGAAATGAAAGCAATGTTGAAGGAACGAGAAGGTTCCTTTGAGAGTGCTATTCAAGGTAAAAACATTTCGTTCTCGACCCGAATTTGTTCATTTACTAAATCGAATTTGATATCATAGGATTAGGACTTCATGGATTGACTCATATTACAAATGAAAATGGAAAATTTATTTCATTACGCTCAGCATTGAGACGTGAACTTCAATTTCATATTGACACTTATAAGCTTGCAATCAACGTGATTGATGAAACGGAAACGTCTGCTGATTCAGATCCCGCACAAGCGTCTCATCAAAGACTATTAGCATTCAAATATGACGATATTCAAAAACGCTTGATTGACAATAAAATTCTTCTCACAAAACTTGAAGTTCCAGGATTAAAGCAATTACATAATTTGCTTGATAATTTAAGAGAACGAGTTGAGAAAGATAAAGAAGTGTTGATTTGCGTTAATCAAGTGAAGAATAGAGATCGTGATGTTGATCTTAAAGAATGGTAAGTACAACGGTGTTATGTGTATACAGTTACGACTTTAATTAAGTTAATACACATAGCGAGTAAACATCTGCTTCTAAATCATGATTAATAATTATTGCATCATCATACAGGCCCGCAGCGAAGGTAATCATGGATTTCTCTCGAGGTTGCAAGTCGGTTATGTCTCTAATGAATAATGAAGATTCCAGTGAAAGTGTTGAAGATGCCGGTAGTGCAAGTGATGGATATCATTCCGAAACAGAATCAGACGAAAGAAAGTAAAAAAAATAAACTTTTAATCGTTGACATTTAAAATAAATTTCTCTTTTAATTTAGAATTCTTATTGAAGAATATCACGCTTTATACAAATCATCGCGAATAGAAACACTGAAAGCATTAAACGAGTCACAACAGATTGAAATTGCCGAGTCTGTAAAATTAAAAATTTTATTCTCTGTAGTTGTCGTAAGTGTGCTTAGCTACTTTATTATTTGTTAGTTTTTTTTTGTCTTCTCCACAATGACTTGATTGATCGAAAGTAAAATTATACAAAGAGTATATTTATCAAAGGCTTTTCATTAATGTCTCTATTGTATTATCTATCTATACATTTCATTAATCTCCAATTTACTTTCATTACTTAGCTCGCGTTTAGATCGTGCCATAGTTTGAAGGAAAAAAAACTTTTGGAGGTAAGACGAACGCTTAATGTTTTAGACAGGCCTGGAAACTTTAATGACGCAATCATTTCACTTGAAACTTCGGTGAAAAACTTTTTGCTATCTACGTGCGAAGCCTTTCCATTAGAGGATGTAGAAATATCTGTGGCTAATCAAGTGAGTGATGAAAATATTTAATTGATTATAATAAGCGTCATAATTAAACTCGTCTTTTCTTCCTTCTTCACTTGAAGATTTACACAACACTTCATGGATATTCTTGTATCAATCAACTTCTGATTATTCTGAAGCACTTCATCAAGAAATCTGTGAGACTTGCTTGGAAATTATGCAATCAACCTTCACCATTTTATCTCGACACAGATTTCACCCTCAGTACAATCAACCTAAAGAAACACGCGAGATCGTCAACATCAAATCAAAAGTCGACAATAATTCAATATTTCTTATGGCCAGCACTCTTCAGAAGCAATGAATGTCTGTCGAAAGCTGTTGTCGTAACTTGAGAAATGTTTTCCATCAATTCATAATAATCAATTAAGAAAATGGAAAACTTTTTCCATTACTTATACATACAATGTTGGATTAAGCAAAAACTTTTCATACATGTTCATTTTGTACTTTGTCAAATATACGTAGCAACATGCAAAAGTTAAAATATGTTCAAATTGAATATGCTGTCTCTATGCGACAAAGCAAATGTTCATATGTTATGTATTTTAAAACTTTTCGCAATTAAATTTCATGAATAGACTTTGGATAAATACATTTGGAAGTATCATTGTTATAAACTGAATAACTTTGTCTAGTGAAACAATTTTAAGATAATAATTAATTTCATCATTCTAAATTCATCTATCATGACAATAACTTAATTCATGTATTGCGCTTTTATTTGTTTTGAAAATCAACTGAAAAAGCTCATGTTATGTATCTATTTATCATTCTATTATTCATAAAATGCATTTCTCTTTCATTCCTCTCAGTTGACTTGCGCATAAGAACTTTAATATAAGTTTCAAAAACTGGAAGAACTTTTTTTGTTGAGATTTTCTCAAATCGAATTTAACCGTGAACCAGAGTTGAAGTGATTTTATTAATCTTTCTCAATTTTATCTTTATATCAATTATTAAAGAGTGAGTTTACTGTTAAGTGATTAGTAGGTTTAAGTTGAAGTTTCGTGAAGTATCATCAAATAAATATCGTAAGGAAAAAACACAAAACAAAAGCTTTTTATTCATGTTTCATTATCAAAGTTATCTGAAGGTTGACCACGAACTGGAGAGACAAATTTAATTGAACCTTGAAAAGAAGATATCAGACATAATGTCGCCTATGTAATGACTCCCACTATAATCTTGATTTTCAATGTGTCTAAAAAAAGAAACAAAAAATATTGATTTTAATACAAATTGTAAAGTCTGAACTCAACTTCATCTTACCACATTTCAACTTTTTACTTTGTCATTTCATCTAACAAGATAATTGAGACATATACAAAAGTCTGCTAATTTGATATAATAAATATCATTGAAGTGAGAGTAAAACTGCGAATAAGACAAACTTCCGTTACTTGCAGTGATCAAAAGAAATTTATACATGTCTCAAAGATAGTTTTTATTCGCATATAAAATAATCGAGCAGAAAAAAGCTTCTGACGAATAAAAAATTCACTCTCATGAAATGAAAATCAAAAGGTTGAAAATCTTTCATATTTTTCGCTCTTGACAATTTCACTCTCTTGAAACTCTCTCAGACTTCCTTCAGAACCAGACGACATCTCATCGCATATTCACATCTCTTGTTTCTAGATCAGTTTCAATTCAAGAGATCATCCGTTTAAGTCACTGAAAGTTGAAAACGTAGAACGAGAGACGAACAATTCACATGCTTTTTAAATCACATTGTCTGTTTACAACTCGTCTGTGCAGTGTGTTTGTTTCTCTTCCTTTTCCTAATTTAGGGAAATCCCTTGAATTTTCGAAATTTATACCTGTTGAACATTCATGAATCATGTACAATATGTTCAAAAGTTTCTTGAAGAAAAAATTCTAAAGAAAGATTTTAGTTTCTCGTTATCAGTGATAAATAGTGTCAGTTCATCGGTTCATTGTTGGATTCTATTTTTAAAAAAATAAAATAAATATTCTACTGAGTAGAAAACTGAATTCTAAGCTATAGATAACAGTCAACTATTTGCTAAAGTGAAAAAAAAAGAAAGAAAAAAGTATTTTCGAAGATAATCTTGGAGACAGTCGACCAACACACGTTGCAAACTCATAATGGACGACGAGAAGTTAAGTAATTCGTTAACAAAAAAATGTCCCAGTGTAAATGGCGAGAACGGAAATGCCAAGGAAATCGTTGACAAGCATGCTAACAAGGAAGTCGAGTTGAAAGCTAAAATGAGCCTCGTGAATGGTGTGACTGTCATAGTTGGGTCAATCATAGGTTCAGGAATTTTCGTCAGTCCAACGGGTAAGATTGAAAAAACATGTTCTCCAGCTGCACAGAACTAATCGCGGTTGATTTAATATTTTCCAGGTGTTCTGAAGTATACCGGATCAGTTAACATGGCTTTGATTGTATGGATTATTTCAGGACTCTTCTCAATGGTGAGTGTTAACTAAATCAACAGACAATATGAAATCATCTAAAATTTCTCTAACATCGGAAACTCTTAAAAAGAAAATGTTCACTGAAATTATTTTGGGAAAATCTTTCACCGTCAAATTTCAAGGAAAAAAAAAAGTTGGAATATTGAAAACTATTAATAAGAGTGCGTTGCTTGAGAAATCTTAAAATTAGAACATGGTAACGACAATTTAAATATCTGGTTCAGTTGTATCAGATTTCATTCATTACGAAAGAAAAATTGACAAGGAAAACATGAAAAAGTTTATTCAACCTTGCTTTGTGTCAAGGAAATAAAATAAATATTTACAAGTTCATATCGCTAGTAAAATTATTGCTCGAATTCTGACAAACCGTGCAAGAAATTTTCAGATTTACTTCAATTGTTCATATCAATTGAATAATCGCGACTTTATTTTATCTTTCAGGTTGGTGCTTACTGCTATAGGTTTGTATGAACGAATCTTGTTTGGTTGTCTTCATTCATAAAATGTTTTTTTTTCAATTTCATCTCACAGTGAGTTGGGAACGATGATAAAAAAATCTGGAGCCGGTAAATACAATGCCAAGATGACGATGAAGAAGAAATCATTTCCTTTAACCCTTTTGAAATGTTTTTCTTTTGTTAACAGATTACGCATACATCATGACGACCTTCGGACCATTTGCCGCTTTTATTCGATTGTGGATTGAATGCATGATAGTTCGACCATGTTCTCAAGCTATTGTTGCTCTTACTTTCAGTGTCTGTGAGTAGATGAATATCTTATGGAGGGAAAATAAAATATTTAGGGTTGTTGTTGAGAAACTATTCATCGGAAATTCCATCACGTTTCATGAAAAAATAATATTTTGATTTCAATCTCATTTATTTCAGATGTAATGAAGCCTTTCTTCCCTGATTGCCAACCACCAGAAGACTCAGCAAGGATGCTTGCAGTATGTTGCATTTGTAAGAAAATTGATTTTTTCTTTCTTCTTGTAAGATTTCTTACATAAATTATGTAAATAATTGCAGTGGTGCTGACATTCATCAATTGCTATTCCGTCAAGTGGGCGACAAGTGTCCAAGATGTTTTTACATATGCAAAACTGTTGGCTTTGTTTATCATCATTGCCGTTGGTGCATATCTTTTAATTCAAGGTGAGTGTTCATCATCATCATCAATTAAATAAAAATAATTTTTTATCTTCTTGGATATTAGGAAACGTCCAATATTTTACATTTGAAGACACAAAAACTGAAGTTACATCATTAGCATTGTCATTTTATTCGGGATTATTTGCATATAATGGATGGAACTACTTGAATTTTATCATTGAAGAGCTTAAAGATCCGGTCAAAAATTTACCACGTGCTATCGCAATTTCACTCATCTTAGTGACGATCGTTTACTTGTTCACAAACATTGGTAAACTTTCTATCAAAAATTGTTTAAATCAACTTTAGTTAAATTTACTTTTCACTTTTTCATCAGCATTTTACACAATTCTTTCACCACAAGAAGTTTTGGGAAGTGAAGCTGTTGCTGTAACTTTCGCCAGCAAATCTTTCGGTCCATTTGCTTTTGCAATTCCAAGTAAGAAAGGAGAAAACAAAAAAGAGATAACATAATTAATGAGATTTTTAAATATTTCTAGTTTTTGTTGCCCTCTCAACTTTCGGAGCTGTGAATGGAATATTGTTAACATCGTCACGTTTGTTCTATGCAGGCGCATGTGAAGGCCAGATGCCGGAAATTCTCACAATGATTCAGATACAACGTCTCACCCCTGCACCAGCCGTCTTAGCAATATCTTTTGTAACTAAACATATTTTCATGTTTCTTTAAAACAAAAAGGTATTAATCTAAATTTTCAAAACTTTCAGCTGTCAATGGCCTATTTGTGTGTATCTGATATCTTCGCTTTGATTAATTATGTTGGCTTTGCGACATGGCTTAGCATTGGTGCGGCTGTTTTGTGTCTACCTTGGTAAGCTATAAACATTGTTATTAAATTGATATTAGATGGTTTCTCTAAATTTTAATTTCTTTTCTAGGCTTCGTTACACTCAACCAAATCTTGTTCGACCAATCAAAGTTCCAATGTTCTTTCCAGTGATTTATTTGCTTGCAACGGTCTTTGTCACTGTAGTTCCTATGTATGCAAGTCCCAAAGAAACCGGCTATGGAATGTTGATGATTCTTACAAGTATCCCCGTATATTTTGTTCTTATTGCCTGGAAAAATAAGCCAAAAGCTTTCCAACAAACAATGGGTAAGCTCAATTGCTTCTTGCACATCAAAATCGTCTTTTTATTACACATAAATTTCACAGGAGCTTTAAACCAAAAATTGCAAAAATTATTGATGGTGGTTCGACCAAAATCTTCACAGGTTTAGTTTTAGTTTTATTTTTGTTTCTTTTTATGGTCTTTTTACTCATATTTTTGCAAGAAATTTATTAAAAAATGCATGAATAGAATTTTAATTTCTCTTCATCTTCTATCTGTCGTCTGTTTTCTTCTAACTTTTCATTTTATTTGATGAATTTAATTTATTCTTTCCTGCTTGACATTCTTATGAACGAAAATGATGTTTTTATAAGTCAAAAATTAATCTCAATTAGAGGCATGAATCCGATCAAAGACTATGTTGATTAATAGCATAAACTATGTTTAATATCTGTTATCTTGTGGTTACAGTAAATCTCACTCAATTTCTACAAAAGCTGTTGGTTGTGGTAGGAAAATCTGCTAAGCCCGCTCAGGTGTAATTGTGTAAATATCATCCACCACTGTCAACGATACCGAAAGCAGAAAGGACAACAGCATCATTCAAATAATTATTTAGCATTTTTATGACTTTATTTTTTCTCTCTTGTCTAATTCTTGGGGATGTACCGATGATATTGTAGCATAAGATTGTATGATTTAACGATTAGAAGGCTGTTCATGCATTTATGTACACTTAGTAAGAACGCATTTTATGCTAAATATGTTTGATTGATGAATTTACTATAAAATATTGTCATCGGTGAAAAGTCTGATAACGTTTGAAAAAGAGAAAAAGAAATGAAAAGAAAAAATATTTTTAGATATCTGAGGATCTTTTATGAGACATTTGAGGTTCTTTATTAATCATTTCTTTTCTCTTTTTCGAATCAAAAACTAACAGATTTTTAAAGAAAAACAATTAGGAATCTCAATAATAATGAAGACAATAATTTACAAATATTATATATACAAAATTTAGAATTATGTGTTAAAGAAGATATTTAACATTTTATCTGTTAAGAACGAAAATACGATAAAGTGAATGGGGAAGTAATAATATATAAAGCACATATCAAGATCTTTGATGAAACAGTTGAAGATGAGTTGATATCTGTTAACTTTGAAATTATATTGTTGAGAGATCAGTATTTGAAAGCTTTTATTTGTTGTTCAATGGAATGTTAATGATATTGATATTGCCTATACGTATTAAAATTTCTATCAATTTCCGGAAAATCAACACCTTCATAATTTGTTGTCAAACTTAAATACCAAAAATAGAGCATTAACTTGATTCATCTTGATTGAACTTAGATTGATTAAAATCATTCATGAACAAATAGATATAAGTCTTCCTGATTTTAAATTTATTTAATTCATAATGATTTTTCATGTTGCATAATTTAAAAATGATCAAATATGTGTTCTGAGCAAGAAGGATAAATATAAATATGTAAACCATCAATAATATTTACTTTGATTTGTGTATTACAAACCTTTTCAAGCTTTCAGAAAAATATAAAGTTTTCTTATGAAATTTCATTTTAGAGATCATCATCACATCATTATTTAAGGGATGATTCATTATTTTTAATATATCATCAGATGATAATTTCATTTCGACTTGGTAAAGAATTACTTTTGGGATTCGGTACGGACTGAGTTAAGATTCGTTCAACTTGTAACGGGTTAATAATCTTCATTCTTGTTTACTTTTTCGGTTGATTCGTTGATAATTTGATGTTTTGTTGATTCCTATTTGAGGGATAATCTTGGAGATCCTCAGTATTTTTCTTTTCGAAGATGCTTCACGACAAACTTTCCTACCTACCTAGGTTTGTTGCTTCCTGAATTACATACTTCTTTGAAACTGACAGTATTCTTATCATTGTCAGGAGTCACATAAAGAATGTTAAGGTAGGATTAGTGGAAACAGAAGAAATCAATGAAGTTAGAATTAAAGTTCATTGTTTACGGTCACTCAAGTGACATAAATAATATTTACTAACGCGTAACCTCCTCGGAGGTTCAATTTCACGTCGATACACTCCCCACCTGAAACTGGTCCCCAAAAGTTAGTTTCAGGTGGAGGGTGTACAATTATCACGTTCAGACAGTTATCACGTTCAGACAATTTTTTGTAACACTTTGTATGGACACTAACACTACTAAGCTTAATCATGAAGTTAGCTGTGATAAATTTTTAAATTCCCCGGGCGTTAAAATTTGTGCTACCAGGGTATCAAACACAACTACATTTGAGCTGCGTGAAGTTAGCGATGATTAATAATCAGTTAAATTATTGAGAGACTTGAGATGATCGATAAAAGACCTAAAATTGGATATTTTTATTAAAAACATTTTATCTAAAAGGTACTTAATTAGGGACATATGAAGAAAAAATCAATCTATTAATTGCATACCCTCGGGTAACTTTGATTGATCTTTTGTCCGAGGACGTTCCAGTGGCGGCGCTACGATCGAAATGT